ATTGACCAACTCTGTGTGTTATAGCTTCTGTGAAGGGCTCCTTTGAACCGTGACAAACTGTCTTAACTCTGTGTCTGATACTCTCCTCTTCTTCACCTCTCCAGTAGCTGTTTCGTTGTTTCATCCGTGTACTGCACTGCTCATCTCCTCTGCTCTCTCCTACTTTCTGCTGTCTTTGTCATAAAAACTTCACCAGCTTGTAGATGGGACTCTCACATCCTGACTGATCTGCTGCTACAGCAACAGTAACTTTTCCTCCACTTCCTCTAGCCTCTAGCCTCGTTGCCTTCATCTTTTTTCTTTTTGAAAAAGCCTCTTCTGTCTGTAGTCTTCAAGTCTTGGCTTAGTGAATCATCCAGGTAGTTACCACCTGATTCCAACAATGACAAACAACCCCTATAACTGGTGCCAGAGCATGTGAGCACAGCGGTGCAGAGCGCAAGTGAGCAAATAAGCAGGAGGATTTTGGATCCAGTTTTGCTCTGGTATGCCTATTTCCAGTACCACTGTACGTGTCCCCAGGATCATTTCCATGCTTCCCATTCATTGTCAATTCATTCTTCAATGCAGTACATTTCTCCGTTCCCGTCAACAACCTATTCTGTTCCGTTGTACAGCTGATCTTTATCATGCATACTTAAACAGAGTTAAGTTAAAATTAATACAATGCAGCTTTTTTTGAAGCGATTTATAATGGAGTAGAAATCAGAGTTATATGGCGAAGCAATATTGAGCAGAGTGGCTCCTGATGGCGGAGAGTGGAGGGAGCGAACAGGTGGGTGAGCAAGAAATTAAAATTCTCACCACTCTGCTCACATGCTCTCTGACTGTCACATGTTCTCCTGCGCTCACATACAAATGCGCATTTACCAAGTACTGTGAAGCAGATCTGCTGTTTTAATGACACACAGAGGATCCAAAAAATACTTCCATTTCAAATACATTTTTGATCAATGACATTGTATTATTTTCAAGGGATTTAATGCATGATTGGACAGATAGCTAGATCTGGGGCCATTTTGATTTTAATTATAATGATTCAGCGATTGAATCAGGGCACTGGAGCAACTTCTCAGAATCAGAACAACTACGAATTGTGCAAAAGAATACATTCAGTATTTGACGGGTAATGTAATAGATTACTTCAGAAAAATTAAGTGGGTGGTTCTCATATTCACAGTGCTGATCAGATATGCACAAAGATAATTCCCTTGACTGCATCTCATCTTTGATGTTGTGCGTAGTTGCAGTCACAGTCTAGACTTTTTATCCGGCTTATATAATCCACTGCAGGTCTGCATTATCACATTTGCATTTTAAAGTGATGATAGTACCCTGTACTTTCATCTGACAGTAGTCAATCAACAACAGTGAATCTGTAGAGCGCTGAACACACACAGAAGACAACTAAAGAGTCACAAAAACAGGTCAACAAGTCCACTGACAGATACCAGATTAAAAATGACAAAAAGGAGTTTAAGTACCTTGTTCACCCCTGGTTCATCGACACAGTGGTTTTCGCTCATGTTGCCCGATAAGATTTCTTCTCAAAACTTGTGTGGGCGTGTACAGACTGCTTTTGATTGACATGTTGCACACTCTTTTATTCCAGCTGTTAAGGCAGTCAAACTTTCATCATTCTCATTGGTTTGTGGTGTTTGGTGACCTAGTTAAAAAAAAAAAGGTGCAGTCAGACCAGATTTTGCTCCACATTCATTTCAATGAGGAATAGAATCAGATGAATTTTACTTCATACAGGCCGCTAATTGACCCAGATTGAAAGCTTCGCCTTATTAAAAAATATTCTATTTTGAGGCTTTCTTAATGCATTGGCAACTAAAACAACCGATAGAAATTCAAAATAATATACATATATAAACAAATACAAAAATCTAATAATGTTATAGTGAAAGGCTACCAAGTCTATAGTGCTTGAGAGTGCTATACAGCAGATCTCAAACAAAGACCATGACAAATTAACTGGGTGAGTAACCCCTATTCTTGTAAACGGAAGAAAGACATGGGTCCTAGACAGCCCGTCCAGGAAGTTGTGATGTTGTGATTGCAACAATTAACACAAATTCAACCAATCTCCATAAATTCTGCGCAACCTTTCAATTTTGTCCAATCATCTCAACTTTGCAAATTTGAACAATCAATGTAGTTGAGCCATACATCACCAAACTCACCTCTTTGTTTAAGTCATGTAAGTCATTTTTGCCAGGCAAACTCATCCTGACAGCATTATAATTCTCATATGACACCACCCAACTTCAACATCAGGTCCAAAACCCAACTGGCACAGTGTGAGTTTAAGCTGGGTGGCCCTAGTTTCCACTTGATTTCAATATGGCAATATGTGCTGACTTAAATCGATGGCTTGTGCGGCAAGTACACAAAATAACACAGCATAGTTAACAACGCAGACTTATAAACAGATTTTACATGCTACATCACAGTTGGGGTCACAAGCACAACATAGCTCATCTGACCAGACCCAAAATCACAGCTGGGTTCAAAAGACTTATACCTTTCAACCCATGGAGAACCAGAGCAGCATGTTTTTCCCCCGTCCAAACTTTAGTGTGAATCTGTGAACTGATGAAATTGTTACTGTAATTGAGGTTTACTACAGGATCTCCAGTGTGAGCTGTATATAGCAGCCGCCACCTTATATGTAGCCTGCACTCTATAGGAATGGGTTTCCCTGCCTTGTTATTATGTAAAAGGGGACTTATCGGTGAGCACAGCCCCTAAATTCAGCTGTATAGGGTCTTTAAAATGCCATCTGGGGGAGTGTGGGATATTATCTGAAGCATAAAGGCACAGGAGTGGTCGAGAGATACTTAACTTAAGTGAGGATAGAAAGCTTTCTTCAGGGTGCCCTAATAGCTCACCTGGTAAATGTGGCGCCCAGCTGAGTACTTGCTGCATTGGACATGGCGCCCTTTTGCTGCATGTCATCCCATCTCTCTACCCCTTTTCCTGTCTATCCTCAGCTGTCCTATCCAATAAAGGTAAAAATATATGTATAAAGAAAGGACGCTTTCTTCCACCAAGAAAGCCTCTCTTTTTTTTAATACAACATATACCATGTGTGGTACGTAAATATATGCAAACACGTCGTCTGTGGAGTGTGGCCAGAGCACCATCTGACCACATGTCTCAAGAAAGCATCTTCTCTCTGTCTCTTGCACACTGGAACACCTGGGACCCACACCGGTCTCTGCCTTGTGTCAACCCTCAGGCATGGGTTGATTTCCACTCTGCTCTCCCCCCTTGGTTCTCAATCCTGCAGCCACCTCAGCTACAGCGGTGCCCTCTCAGGAGCTATTCCCTCAGTGAAAAATGTTCTATTATAAAACCACCACAAATAACTTTTAAAAACAACAATTCTTTTTCTTCAGCTGCAGTAGAAAACTTATTGGCTTGGGTTGTAAATTGAAGCAATTAATAGCAGTTGAAAGTTAATGTATACAGTACTTAATCCTCCCTGATTCAAACATTTACTTTCCACAATGATGTCGGGCATACTACCTGCTTGTGTCTCCTCCTGCAAATACTTTTTTCTTGATGGAAAATCATTTCAGAGCCTTTCTGACACTTTTCAGAAGCAAGAATATTTTTCAGCGTGGGCATACTTCTTACACCCACCTTCGAAATTGTCTCTGTCATTTTGTACATTCACATTGCAGCGTAGGTTACGTCATGTGAGAGTATGAATAACTCAAGACCTTCAGATCCCCATTGCAGCTGTGTCCCTAATGCACACTAGATTTCCTAATTCCCACAGTATTGTTGTTGCGGTTATGACACGAGTGTAAACTGAACAAAGAGATGGCAAACGTTTACAAACGTTACTTTGCGTTTTCTTTTTCTACCCTTTAAGACCAATTAGCTTTTAAGGATAATACCAGTTTATTACAACTTAGATGTTATTGTACTCACCAAGTCTTAACTTAGACACAGTTACTTATCGTCGTTGTTTTACTGCAATTATTACAGACATTATTTATTTTCAAATGAATGAGTCATCTTACTCTTGAACATGTGTCTGACTGCCTGTGTTTTTCCCACCGCTTGACTTTGTTTTAGCTTTGTTTCTGTGTTCCCAGAGCTCGGCATGTTGTAATAAACAAATTTATTCTCAGCTAAAAAATCTAAATAAAGTGGTTTATTGATATGGATTTATATGTATGCCATATTATACATTGTATTAAAACACAATGAATGTATTTTTGCATCCTCTGTTAACCTGATACATTTTTTTCAGAATTTCGATGCAAACCATCTGCCAATTAGACAATTAGATGTAATTGCCATAAGATTTGTGATACAGATGCATTTTGCACACTACACAGTTTGGCTCGCTCTCCACACATCCATGGCAATGGTTTTGCTTTTAACAAAGATTCACCATTTGCTCTATTTTTTATTTTATGTGACTATTAAATGACTAATAAATATGGAAATCATTTCAAGTTTTAAAGGTTTTGACATAAGGTCATACTTTTTAATACTGCTGGGTTCACTTAACTTCAGTGCTGTAAAATCAGATTTGGATCTTGAGGCCTTAGAATCTCAAATTAATGCAGAGGGTGTCATGGCAGAGGATTTTGTCATTCATGAAGTAAAATTTAAATATCAGGCTAGATAAAGCAATATGATAATCAGTGATCAGTGTGCCTTTCTAAAAGGGAATGCAAATAATCAAAAGGGCTGTTAGTGCTGTTGATAATTCACCTTTATGAATTGTACTCTGACAGTGTCATCACGTAATGTCCCACTAATCCATTCAAATTGAATTGTCTGTATGTAATTTCTAATTGATTAATATTTTGCCAACAGGAACAAACATGTAAACAATAAATTATGATGGTTATAATTTAATTTATAATTTTCAGGACAGTGGCAATAAACAGTAAATACCCTGCACTAATCTGACCAATATCTGCCTTTATTGAGTCTATGGGTGATCTTTGATTGTGCATCATTTTCAGTTTGTTTTGCAGTGTGGAAAAACCGTCACATGCGCACCGTGACCAACTATTTCATAGTGAACCTCTCCTTTGCTGATGTGTTGGTCACCATCATCTGCCTGCCTGCGAGTCTTGTAGTAGACATCACAGAGACGTGGTTCTTTGGAAAAACTCTTTGCAAAGTTGTGCCTTATTTGCAGGTAAGAGGTCACCTTTGACATCTGCTTTTCAAAAAGGATATTAGAAATCTTGTCTTGATCTAAACCACTTAGCACATAAAAGGTTTATGAATACAAGCCAAGTATTTCTATAATTCTCACTTTCTTCTTCTCTGTATTCATAAGGATAAAAATGTTTTTTTCATATCCCATGAGATCTGCACTGTGTGAGACCTTTGATGTTATCCCATGGTGATTTATTGCCTTGGGCAAGTTTTTGCTTTTAAAATTCTACTGCAACATCATCCCCACTATGCCAACACTTCTACCAAAAGAAAATCATCCATTTCATATCACACTGTAGGTCGCATTGATGTAGTGAACCGAAATCCCACACAATCCTGCACAAATCCTAAATCCTATATGCTGAGGATATCCTACTATAACCAATTATCAAAGTGGAGTACTCAGATATTTCACTTATGTAAAAGTAAAAATACTTTATCACAAGTAGAAGGCCTGCATTCAAAATCCTAAAAGTACCACAAAATATAATTAAACTATTCAATATAAAAGTATTGGTTCTGTAGTAAAATGTCCACTGTGACCAATATATGAATGTACCAGTTATTAATACTGATTAGTCACTGTGTAAACAGCTTTTTACTGGTTGAAGTGCATCTACTTTTAACAACTTTATACACAGTTCAGTAGTTTAGTCGAGTGTCAGGCCCCTTTCAAAAGTAGATCACATTGTCCCTGTCACAGACATTTCTCTAATTTTTGTTAAAATATTTAAAAATGTTGTCTCTTTGGACAATTACTTAAATTAAATCACCTGAAAAAATATGAGAAACAAACATCTCTCTGAAATAGGAGTATTAGTATTAGAATAGTAAGTGGCTCCAACAAGACTACTTTTATATAAAGAGATTTTTAAAGTAACCAGTAATTATATCAATGTCAAATAAATGTAGTGGAGTAGAAAGTGTAATATTTCCCTCTGAAAAGTAGTTGAAGTATCAAGTAACATACAATGTAAATACTCAAGTAAATGTACCTGGTTACTTTCCATCACTGCTGCACCGTATCACATTGTGTGGTTCTGAATAACTGTCGTGTACACACTAAGTTCTGGGTGGAAGCAGTTGTAAACCAAAGGATTTGTGTTGACTGAATTAATGTCCTAGTTTGCCACTGTATAATGGGTTTACTGAGGGCTTTCATGGTCACATTCACCCTGGTTGCTGTTCAGTATGCCTTTACTGTACTCTGCTGTATGCTGCTGCTACACTTCCTGCTGCTTTTATGAACCCAGAAATATCTTTTTCTCCTAAATTAATTCCCATTTGGGAATTACTTCAGTTCACCCTGCATTTTATGTGAGATTTTCTGCTGTATTGCCTCAGGAAGAATCATCCTTAAGAGTAGAAGCAAAACGGAAAGTGAAACTGTACTGATATCTCCATCTGCAGCACAGTATGTTGTAAACCCAATGACATAAGTGATTCCTGAGAAAAATTATGAAACAGTCGAGGAAACTATGTGATGAATGAATGATGATTTCTTAAAAATGCAGCAACAGAGCACACCTTTACTTCCCTGCCTTTATATTGACCATGTGCAACAAGGAAGTTTTGTCTTTTAACTTCTTGTCTACACCATCTGCTGCTTGTGGTCACCTTGCGCCAACATTTTAGCAAATATCTGGTCAGTTTTGTGTTATCTACAGCTCTACGACAAAGATCTTATGCTTTTTACATAACGGCACAGAATAGATAGTGCTCCGCATAACTCAGCAGCAGGATCAGTTGCTCATCTTACTATTATGACAGTCAAGATGACTGATCAGAATGTGTTGGTATTTTTCTTTTATTATTTGTTTGTACAATATATCATAACAGAAAAAGTGGTTGTTTTGTTTTGGATAAAGAAATATTGAGTCACACAGTCCAGTTTTCCATCACTTGGGATTATTATTGTTTAAGAAAGTCATTATTACAACTCATATTATCAATACAATAAATATTATATTACATAGCAGGGTGAAATTATGTGTTTTAATTTATGATGATGAATCAGATTGCAGACCATTCAAAACAGATGACAAAACAATCTCCATTTAGTGGCTGTGAAATGACTGAAGGCTCCTCAAGAGCTACTGAACAGGCTTTGTTGCTGTTTCAAAAGGAAAGGAAATTGGAATCTGACAGTTTTATCCTGTAATCAACACTTTCACATTCACATGCAGCGGTCTCATCTGTCTCTCAGCAGACTTCCATACATAGTTACATACATATTTCCATATGTAAAAAAACAAAAAAAACAATAGGCTCTGCAAACATTACAAGAGAATAGGGGAACTGGACATTTGTTGGGGACTATTTTCAGGGGCAGGAATATATATTTAATGCAATATTTACACACTGAATGATGTTGTGCGACTGACTAAAAAAATAAACTACATGTGCGTACCGTGGTAACGGTGTGTGGCTCACTGACTTTCAAAAAATATATCTTTTGCACAACAGTGGCATGGATCAATCAGCTATATTTATCGTTTGGCTTACACACACATACTTAATATACATAAGTAGGATCAGGGTGCCCGGTTAGTTCAGTGGGTAGAGCTAGCGACCCATGAACCGAGGCTGAGTCCTTGCTGCAGTGGCCCAGGGTTCCAATCCAACCTGCGGCCCTTTGCTGTGTGTTATCCTCTCTCTCTGTCCCCCTTTCCTGTCTATGTTCAGCTGCCACTATAATAAAGGCAATAAAAGCCCAAAAAAATATACTTAAAAAAAAAAAAAAAAGGTAGGATGTTTATTATTAAAAATATATATAATATCACCAGACTTAACCTTTAATTCCTCCTCTTGACCCACTCAGCACACACTACAGGCTTCCCTGTGGTTTCTATGTTTGCATCACATTGAGCATGACCACCCCTGATCTGTTTTCAGGCTATATTACAGAACTCACCGTGCCTGTCAATTAATTATTTATTTCCTGTCAGACAGTGGACAGTTATATGAGGATTTTTCCATTTCTGCCTACAGGCCAATGTTCTCTGCCCTTTTTTAGACCTTTTAAATGAAGGAAATTGGTCAGTGGGTATTTAAGTATACCTCTAGCACCCTTAAGCTGTGATGGAGCTTAGTGTTTATTTCCCACAGGAAATGAACCCACCAGAACCCACAGGTTTATCTCCCACATGAAATTGGTGGTGCTGCTGTGGATTGAAATTCAATGAAATACCTCAAAATGAACAATCTGCAACAGGGAGGAGACACATAGGAACATAGGAAGTTTCTCATGCATCAACATGCCACATCTTATGTCCAATTTCACAGATCCATAATTGAAATCTTGCTTCATCTGCTACAACTCGGCCTTCTCCAATAGCTTCTTGAGAGCATGGTAGGAGTGTAATTCAGATAGTGGTGAGAGTAGACTGCCCTCCATCAAGCAGACAAGGAAGAAGGCGAAGAAGATTGTGTTTGACCCCCACTGCCCTGTCTGACTAACTAAACCCTGTAAATCCGCACTCAGACTCACTCTGATGTGTGACTTTAGTGCTGGTGGATTATGGTTTGATTACCATTAGGCCATTATCGTTGTCTGGACTAACTGAGTATGTGCTTGACCTTTACACAGGTTCAGTCCTATATTGTAAAAGCTGGTAGCAGCCACTGTATTTTGTTGAAAACAAGTGATTGCTATTCCGATACCCTTGATAAAATCAATTGTTGTGGTGCTACATTCCTCATCACAATGTCTACCCTGATGCCACCAGTCAGGGCCAGACTCAACATACTACAGTGCAAAAAATATATTTTGTCCGCTGGAACTTGTTCTTAGATAAAATGTATGATCTGTTCACCATTATTGTGGAAAGCAAATTGATTTAGTCTACTAAGAATAAATATGTGTATTTTAATATTTGGTATTTGTCTGTTTATCTCTAAAAAGCTCTGGTTTAAGTAGCAAAAGGACTGTGCTCTGCTGCAGCTGCCTTACAAAACGAACTGACAGTTAAATAGGACGGCTGTTAGCTGAAGACATGAGATTCAAGGGAAATCCCCAGCAACTACTCATTTTGAAATAATGATCCTCTTTAATGTTTACTGCTGCCCACCATCTCCCTAAAATATGTCAGTATTTAATTCATGGTGAATGTGTCACAGTTGCCAACAATGAATGCAGTAAGAAGCTATGGGATCTATGTTCTGTTTTCAGATCATAAAGTAGTAAACATAGCATTAGAATACCTTTGTCTCCATCTAACTGGTGTTTCTGTTCTTTTTCTTCCAGACCATTTCCGTTTCTGTGTCAGTGCTAACACTGAGTTGCATTGCCCAAGACCGCTGGTATGCTATCTGCCACCCACTGATGTTCAAGAGCACTGCCAGGAGGGCTCGCAAAAGTATTGTTGTCATCTGGGTTGTGTCGTGCATCATCATGATCCCTCAGGCTATTGTGATGGAGTGCAGCAGCCTGCTGCCTGAACTAACAAACAAGACCAGCCTGTTCACAGTGTGCGATGAACACTGGGGAGGTTAGTTTACTCAAATCACCCTCAAACACATGAAAACGTGCCAATATCTCACTTGCTGCTAGATGCACAGGTTAAACTGACACCAAATGACTAAGTGAAGGAGTTAAGGTACTATAGTATTTGCTGTTTCAAATGGATACAGGCCTTATGAGAACATTAGTCATTCCTTGTGCTGAAAGCAGTGTACGTGTGTCCGATGCCATTTAACTGTCATTCAATAGTAAAAATTATGAGACCAGAGGACCGTTCACAGGGTTGATAAGGAATAATAAAGAAGGATGAATTACTTTTGCTGGAGTTCAGATAAGACAGTGAGGGGGGGCTCCTATTTAAAGTCCTCAAAGGAGAATCTTGCAACAAGAAAAAGCTTTTCAACCCACTCACCTACATTGGGTTACAGTAATTGAGGCAGGCTATCAATTCGATACCTTTGAAACACTGATTACTTACTTTATTGACACAGGAAGGTGAAGGTTAATGAAACGAATACTTGAAGCCCTTACAAGGAACTTTCATTTCATTCTAATTCCAGCGACCCCTGTGGATTAAAGTGGTTGTATTTGTACCACCTTGTTTAATTGATTTCAAGGGGAATCCGACCAAATTCGACCCAGTGGCAGGCATAAAGAATAACTACATCAATTTTCTCGCAGACAATCATAGCTTAGCAATGGAAACTAAACACAGCAGGTCAGTCAAGCTTTGGTTTTCCTTTGGTTTTCTCCACATGCGGAAATGGTGTGCATTGGGCTTTAATAAGAGCAATATGTGGTATCTAAAGAGTGTGAAGGGTGGTATTTTGATCACCTCTCAAAAGTGTTAGGAATGGATTACACTGATTAAAAAGCTTTTATCTGCTCAAATGTAAACTGAGAACATTAGAATACCCAGCTAACTAAAGGTACAGACCTGTTATTAGCTTTCCTGGTTTATCGGTGTTATGCCAAGTTCTACCTACCTGCTGAGAACTGAGTGGCCACTCACAGGAGACCACACAGCAAAAGCAAAAATTATCAGACATAATGATTTTCAGGGAAAATAACTTTTTATAAATGATATCATCTGCTTTGTCGGACTCATCAGTGATGATAAATGATCTGCGGTCTATTGTTTATTAAGATTTAGAGTCATCAGGGTTTCATTAGAGTCAGTAACATTTCTTTGATAGGATTGGTTTGAAAATTGCGAGGTTACCTTGAGTAATCTCTCAATGAAGGTGAACTCTTCGGCTTCATTTATCAAGGTATGTGCTGATAAAACCATTGGATTCCTATCGCAGTCTCATTTGAAGTGTTCTCACTGACTGTTAAGGGGTGGATGCATCATTCAGAAGAACTGATTGTAGCTGCAGAGTAATGTATCCCTTATCATTTCAGCATAGGTCATTTTTAAAAATTATGAATTTCACAGTATCAAGCCAAACTAGCCCAAAATATGAAATGTTAAAATTGTAATTTTATTCATAGATCTCCAGAAATAAAGTTACTTTGTGGATGCATTATTCGGCAATGGTGTTTTTTATTACCTGCCGAGAATTGCGTCCCCTCCTTTCTCAGTTCAGGTTACTGTTACGTGTATGAATTTCACACCATTAAGCCAAACTGGCCAAAAATATGAACTGATAACTGTATTTGAAGTGTCAGAAGAGAAACTTAAGAGGTGGATGCATTATTCAGCAGAATTGATTTTAGAGCTGTTGAGAAATGCATCCCCTATTATGTTAGCCAGGAGGAAATTGTCACTGTCAATCTCAAACAGACCAATTTTTCAAAATTCAAACAGGATAAACTTGATTTTGAATGAACAAATATAGTTACTTGACATATCCACAATAAAGATAAGAAATAAGACCCCCATGGTGAAGCTGGGATTAGTACAGTAAACCCACCTCTTGGAGTCTAGTCACTAGTGTTGGATAAGAAGGGATGAAGAGAATGCTGAAGATCTGGCATGTGATGAGTAGTGGACCTCTATGCTCTACCTGAGCACTCGATATGATTAGCTGGAAGTGAATGGGGTGAATGGGGATTGTTGCAACGATTTCGCACCGAAATGACAACTGACAACAGCAGAGAACAGAGCGGATTTAAAGTGTGGCAGCAACATGATTGGCTGGAGGAGATTGTGGTTAAGTCTGATTGGTTTAACAGAAAGAGTAAACGCCTATAGTCAGCTGATTGGGAAGAAGAATGAGTGTAAGAGAGAGCATTGTGAATGAATGAGGCACAAAGCTTTATTTCACTCCTAGGTCTCCAGAGATAAAGTGTGTGGTTGCCTTTCAACATGAATCCTGCATGCTCTTCCTCCTCTTTCGTTCACTCACCTGTCTACCAATTGAATCCAATATATCAGCCTCCTCCTGACTTGGATCACCTGCCTTACTAACTGCTTCTCATCAGCTATTAGTTCCAGTAGCTCACAACTAATGTTATCTTTGTGACTTAATGGTCCAGCCATTTCTACTCTTACTTGTTTGTTTGTTGCCTGAAATCTGTCTTTCTTTCTTAATTATGTACTTCCTGTATGCCAGCAACCTGCCAGACTACCTGTTGCCAACATCCTGCTGTCTATCTGATTAACATGCCTTCCTGCCTTGGATGCTCAAAGGGCACTAATTTGATTGCCTGACTGTTTCAATGCTCCTGTTTATTGACCTTTGTATTAAGCAAATGCCTTTAACTCAACCAACCATGCCACAGTCTCTTCCTGTGGGTCATGTTGCCTTCTACCAGACTTGTAACAGCAGTCCCCAGTCCACTGCTACATTTCCAACATCTACTACCCTCCATCTACCATAGGACTCTCAATTCAATGAGGATCTCTGTTACTGAACTCTCTCCAAATCAATTCCACTTGCTGCCAAAAAACTCCAAATGTCACTACAATAAACCGGGTCCAAAAGAGCCAAATTCAACCCACCCAAAGCTCAGCTCATCGTATTCAACAGAATCTCCATACTTAAACCAGTTATCCACTTTACCCTCCACTTCACCCCCCTCACTCTGGCTAAAGAGGCAAAGGTCTTAAACATCACATTTCAAAGAAACATGACATAGACCACCAACATCAATAACCTGGAAAAAAGAAGGGATTCAAAGATTCAACCACCTCAAAGCACTCACCTGAAATCATCCTCAAGATTTACCAGACTAGATCAATCTTTAAATGCAGCACCAGTGTGTCCCACAGCCTCACAGCACCAACAACAGACTACAAATCATTCAAAACAAGGTGATGAGAATGTCATACAGGCTCCCACAGTAAATCAGCACCCATTACAACCACTGTATGTTCGGACTCAAAACCATTCATGCAAGAACTATCATCCCTACAGAGAAATACACACACAGAGCAATGCACAACTCAGGAAAGATGCTGCTCATTCACGACACAAAATGGGATGCACGGTTCAGGACAGCTGAATTTTTTTTTATCTCCTGAGAAGTACATCCTCCTTGTCACACAAAAAGCAATTTAAACACCCAAAACATTCTATCAAAGTCATAGAATAAAAAAACAGTTTGATGTTATCAAGGGATGTTGTTTGGGTGTTCTTATCCTTCAGGAAATTAACCCTGACTCTGTAAAATTAAGGAAGCCTCTTAGATATATATATGTCCTTAGTTTTTTTTATTATGACCCCAGAAGATTTAGTAAAAAACGTTGAGACCTTAATGCCATGCTGATTGAAATGTCACTACACAGAGATCTTATCATCTCTTAGTCTAAACCATGATTAACTTGCTCTGTTCTCCCATTTTTAATTATTTTATTTTAGGTAACAACCTTTTGAGCTCATAGGTAGAGACCTGATTAATAAATTGGCCACAACCAACAGTCACAGAGGAAGTCACAGATCAGATCAAATTTTGTCTGGCCAGCGGAGTGAAGTTGTGAATGTGGTAATGCTGGACTTATTTTACTTTTTTGTAGACCAATTTTTTTATGTATGATAGTAATATATCGAGTCTGTGTGCCAAATTAGGCATCAGGAGAAGTCTTTGCTCTCCCTGTCATCCATAGACCAATGTTTTGAAGATGAATGGAACTATCCAAAAGTGAGGAAAGGACAACATGGATGCCCTGAAATTGTCAATCACAAATTATAGTGTTGTTGAGTATTTTTTGAAAATGCCACACATCAATTAAAATTTAATAAAATAAAAAAAAAGATTCAGGCTTTTATGCAGGGTCATCAGGACAATGCCTCTAACTGACAATTTAACAATTATCTCAATGTTGTTGTATTTGGACTGTGCAGCAGAAAAGTTCAACTTGTTTTTTGATATGGTCTCTGAATGAAATAATGAACCGTCTTTAAGGTCCAGGATAAAACACACTGGAGACTGAAATCCTGAATGTACATAACCAACTTTGTGGTGTGGTGCCAAGATATACACATAGCCAATATTCTTGGCTTCTTTACAGTAATCAGTGCTGATCTGCTTGGGGAAAACAGTGCTGTGAACATTGACCACCTCAAACATTTCATTTTAAAGAGTTGGATGAGATTATTTATATTTCTGACATGAACTTGTTATTACAAATGTAATTTATTCAAACTAAAGTTACCACATATTAACACTGTCATACTAAACTGTCACTACAATCAAGACATCTCCAAGTCTGTACACTGTACAGAAGAATGTATGGGCCTTCCCTTAGAAAAATGTTATATCCTGTTAATTGTTAAATTAATGAGCGATGCATTCACCTCACATATGACATATGGAACACTGCTGGATACGGCATCCATGCCCTAACCTAATCTCTAGAGACCTAGGAGTCAAATGGTTTTAACAGCACGTATTATAGGGTTTCTTACGATTGACAGTGTGAATGTCATGCATTTAACACTAATCTTGGCTGAAACAACAAGGGGATGCAAATCCTGGCAGTTACAAAATCAGCTCTGCTGAAATAATGCCCCTCTCCCCCTTATATTTCTCTCGAGACACTTCCGAATCAAATGATGTTACACGCGTCTGTTTTAGCTTGACAGTGAGAATTTCATATAAGTAACAATCTTCATGGCTAAAATAATAGGGGATGCATTTCTCTGCAACTACAAAATCAGTTCTGCCGAATAATTCACCTCTTAGTTTCTCTCCCAACACTTACGAATCAAATGCGATTATTAGTACATACTTTTGGCAGTTTTGGTTTGACATTGTGCATTTCATACATTGATACGCTCTCCTGATCTGAATAAAGGAGGGGATGCAATTCTCAGCAAGTAATAAAAAAACAGCACTGCCGAATATTTCTAGAGAGCTTTGACCATTGATCATGGTTTTGTCAGCTCATTTTGGCTGAATTTCATATATTTAAAAATTACCTAAGCTCATATAACAGTCAGTCAGACAACTGAAATTGTGTATGTTACATTTCAGTCAAGGCCTCTATTACAGTTTGCAAGGTATGCGTTAGTAACTAATCTTCTTGTTGCAACAAAGGTTCCAGTAACTCAGCGAGCTGCCTGGAGCTCAAACATGTGGTCATATAAATCCACACGCGAACTAAAGGACAGATAAAATATGCACTTATTTTTTCGTTTCATTCACCCACAGGTATTTGAAAGGCAACAAAACCACTCAGTAAACTCAGTCTTCTACAACGTATTACTGCTTTATCTGCTCTAATTCAGCACTTACTTGCTCACTAATTCGCTACAGCCACACAGGCGTGCATGATGAAGGCGGGATATGCTGATGCACATCAGATGATCGCTCTCATCACAGAGAGTGATACACTAATGAAACACTGATGACTCTAAATGTTCATAAACTATAAACTTCAGATCATTTATCATCTTTCCTGAACCGAACAACCAATATTATATAGTTTTTAAACAGTCCTTTGCCTTATACATCATTTATGTCTGGTTGTTTTTGCTTTAGCTCTGCATGCTCTACTGCAAGGGGCATCCAGTTCTCACCTGGCTTACCTGTTGCCTGTAGTGTTGCTTGCCAAGTTTGTTTTCCTGTGATAAGATGAGCCGAGGGTTATGTTGTAACAAATAGCATTTCAGCTATGGTACATTTTTATTTATAATACTGGAACTAACTATACCTGCAGTACACAAGCATTTTTCACAGCAACCAGTTTGACATAAATTAGTAACACAGGTGTTACCAATCACACTAATTAAGGCTCTGTTCTATTTATTGTAGCAGAGCCTCACCAGTGAGCCAACATGCACATTAGCAGGACCCTCACTCTGTTTGGCCTGAATGGATCAGAAGCTTAATTAGTATAACTGGTAACACCTGTGTTTACCCTGCTATTTCATGTCAAAATAGCTGCCGTGAAAAACGTCTGCTCCTTCTGGATCATGAGCTAGTGAGGCCTTTTTGAGTTTTTGTCCTTACAGGATTATTGTTAAGGATTAAAAAACATGAAAACATCTGCTAGGGACAGACAAAATCCATGTTCGTCCGCTAGCAGTGAGCCTGCTTGTGTTTACTCCTGTGGGAAGTTGAAGATTCATTGTTGTGAAAAATTATCTTCGACTGATTAATCTGCCATGTTATCACTGTAAATGTCCTGGTCAAGAACAGAAAGACTGACCACCAGTCACTATCTAGACAGTTTTCAATGAAATGATGATCTTTTTATTCTTTCAACAGCTGAGATCTACCCAAAGGTGTATCACACCTGTTTCTTCATTGTCACATATTTTGCACCACTGTGTCTCATGGTCCTGGCGTATATCCAGATATGTCACAAGCTGTGGTGTCAACAGGTGTGTACTCTGGTGTTTTATGTTTTTAAAAGTCATACATCAGCTTTTACAAAGCCCTGTTTGGGCCACTGAACTGATTTTCCATTTCCGAGTTTACAGCACCTGATGTATGCACATATTTAATAAACAGATTCCTGGAAACACATCAGTGTTGCAGAGAAAATGGAGATCCATGCAGTGCTCAGCTCCAGCTCCAGGCCTCGGAGAGGCTGTGAGGGTCCGGACCAGCACGGTTTGTGCAGAGATCAAACAGGTCCGAGCCCGGCGCAAGACAGCTCGCATGCTGATGGTGGTCCTCTTTGTTTTTGCTCTGTGCTACTTGCCGATCAGCGTGCTCAATGTCATGAAAAGGTAATCTCTCAAGCTCTGCTGCTTCGAGGATCAAAAGTCATTCAAACACAAAGAGATCACCAATAGATACTGTGATAAACCAGGGCTCACATTTTGCATCCTTTTTTCATTAATATATATATATATATATATAGATCATTCCCCTTTGTAGTTTCATGTTTAATAATGACTCATTCTAGCATATTTAAGGTTAGTTTTTTCTGCAAAGTTGATTTAAAATATTATTATTTATAGTATAGCATTAAAAGCATTCTTTAAATAATAACATGTCATACTTTCCCTGCAGAGTCTTTGGGACTTTCAAGAACACAAATGACAGAGAGACAGTGTATGCATGGTTCACTTTCTCACATTGGCTCATATATGCCAACAGTGCAGCAAATCCTATCATCTACAATTTCCTCAGCGGTAAGTTTGTAACCTTGTGTGGGTTCCTTACTGTCCTCTAGTGGACAGGTTTGCAACAACAATACCACTCACTGCTCTAAATTCCTGATCTGATAATATGTTGTGCACATACAAAGTTGTATTTATAATATAATGCATCTCTGCTGTTTTGGAGTCAATCAAATCTTCTAAACATTAACTACTGATATTTGAGGTTTTAATGAAACTGAAAAAACAGAAGGGAAGGTGTATAAAAGGTTCAAATTTAATGGTTTCTGAGTGGATTTCATGCTTCTCTTTTTCACCAGGGAAGTTCCGTGAAGAGTTCAAAGCAGCCTTTTCTTGCCATTGTTATGGCCAAGGACAAAATGGAACAAAGAGGATAAGAACCAGAACCAGCACGGACAGCCGGAAATCCCTGTCAACTCAAGTTAACATGGACAATGTCTCACGAATATCTGATCAGGTAGTGTAGTCTTATCCCGGTGGGGAGTTCTTCTGACCACTTCAAGCTTCAAAGGACATACTCATCATTAAGGTAGACATTCAAAATGATGGTATATTTAGTTTCACAAGGACACTTTATGGAACGTAAGACATTTTCTGAGGGTCTTGTCACGTCTTTTAAATAATCAGCAGAACATGGAAACCACTTGTAGTCTATTTAATATGAGAAGATACCATTTGAATATTTAGCATCTGATAACTCATACCATATGTATTTGTTGATATACAGTTAAGTGACATGATTTGAATTGCACATGTGTGTCGTTTCGTAAATGTACACTTTTGACTTTATTTTTGGTTCAGTTGAAAGAATCAGTGTTACATTTTATGATGAATTATATCACTGTTTATTTATTCAGTCATTGGTTTAATGTGTTTTATAATAATGAAAATAGCAGGTGCTATAGAGAATAAGCTCAGATTTGTAGTTAGTTTCCTTAATTAGCAGATGTCCATCTTAAGTCTCCAGTGTAAATGCCCATGAATGTATGATTATGTGCATTAACAGTATGTAAATGATCAAACATTGTAAACCTCCAACAAACTCCTGAATATTCAACATGACACGAATGTGTCCTGGTGGATCTCATTATGAAACCTCTTTCTTTCACCTGACACACACTGAGTTTGTATTGAAAAACATCAGCAGGGCAGACTTATATTTTATACTGTAGCTGCGCACCGGCCCACTATGTATAGCTGCAAAGTTTAAGTTATAAGCATCATGAATGCTAAAATCCAGAGCTTTTTTTGTTCTCAAGAACTATTGAATTTTTCAACACAGGGTAGAAGCAACATCCAGTCGTTAACAGGAGGCAGTTTCTTCAAAGGTTTCCATTTTGAAATGCTTCTGTCATTCACCTTCACTGACAGCTTCAGAGCCCCGGAGACACTGTCCTGTCCTGAAACAGAACAGTGGATGCCATGAAAACAGAAAACTATAAAAAAGTATTTTTTATATTAAAGTTTGCTTTTAAAATGTGCAATGAAGAAACCTGTCTTCAAATGTGCTTCAGAGATCTATTTAGTGATATAAATGTATGATGCCGGTCCTCAAACGTGTGTTGGCAACAGTACTGGCTATTAATCGAGCCCTGTTTACTGTTTGTACAGTTGCACCCTGATTGTAGCATGGTTGAGGCATCTAACTCATGATTAACCAAATTTATTTTTTATCAATAAAATATTGAACTGATTAGCTAAATGAAGCAATACAAGGTCAGGAAAAAATGTTAAATATGGCCAAATGAGAATTAGTTTTTTGCATAAATAATAAATTATATAAATTATTCTTGTTAGACTGCTACTAGAATTGCATCCAATGTGTAAAAACGTCTTCTATTGTGATTTGTTTTTTTATAATATAGAATACTTTGATTTGAATAAATATATATCATGAAAGCCTTAAGAATGAAAATCTGAAAAAAGCACATCATGTCAATCATGACTCAAACCTACAGAACAAACTGATCTGTTGTAAACTCACAAAATCAAGTCATGTTTCAGTTTCTCAAATACTTTTATAATTAACAGCATATATCTGCCTGTTTAATGATTTACTTTTACTGATCTTCACTTTTAATCATTTATACAGAGTTAATTTACCAAAACTGTTACAGTTCAGCCAAAACACATAATTGTTTGGCTGCTTGATGTCATTATTAATGCCCAACCTTTCCATCATTTCACTTGATGAATGAGTTACAGAGGCCTGTTAATAAACAACATTTAACATATTTTGACTGTAAACAGATTGTTAGAAACTTAATTTATTTTGAAAGGCTAATAAACGTGTACACATGCTGTGACACTTTGAAAGTAAACTAGCATTAAGCCTTAAATTGAATCCCATCAGTGTTGTGTTTTTTTCTTGCAGACAATTTCCATCACAACACACACACACACACACACACACACACACGGACACACAGACGTGTATCAGGAGAGTAAATGAGTAACAACTCATTTCTCATTGAGACTTTTTATACGTAATATATGTGTTGATTTATAGCTAGTATGTTTTGTATGAGTGGACCCCTTGAGGAGTAGCTGCTACCTTGATGGCAGCTAATGGGGATCCAAGAATAAAGACATTACTGGCGTCTGGATGAGACCTACTGCAATTGAACGGCTGTAAACTTGGATTAAGCTTCCAAATTACTGAATGATATGTTGTGTTTCTTCTACAGTTCATTATAGTATCTCTGCCAGAAATACCCTGTTCTCACACAGTTACACACCTGGAAGCTGCCCAGTACAGCCACGGTCTGATCTGCCACTGAGTACCTCCACTAGGGCAGTAGCAGCAGAGGGCCTTGCTCAAGGGTGTGTTACTGCTGGTAATGAGGAAAATACCAGTGCTGATGGTTCACTTTGCCCTCCAAAATCTCTGTTCTGCTGGTGCAGGGACTGAATGGCCAAACCTCCATTCTCGAGTTTGTTTCTCTTGTAAAATCCTTATTACTATAATGACACTGAAACTCTACCACAGTTTCTCTGATGTTTGAGGCATACTGAATAGTTCCCTGAGAGCAGTCAAAAGCACAAAATCCCTGTGAAGAGGGATACTAATATTCTCATGAATATTTATAACCAGCACATAATTGTAAAGTGTATTTGCAGCTAACAAGCCTTCATATAGGTGCAATCTTGAAGTAAGATCTCACACTCAAGGCTGGCAGAAAGCCTCAGGTTTCAAACGTGGATATGAAACAAATGTGCTCATGCACAGTTTATTTTGTTTGTATCCTCAAACAAACCTGACTGTGATTTGTTTGTAATTGTGGCTGTGTGGAGTGCATGGTGTTTGTGCAAGTGGATATTAAACCCCAAAACAATAAGAAAAAGAATATTAAAGCAGCTGTCTTTCCATTCAAATTTTATAAGAAAAACAGGCTTTCAGTCAGGAGACCTTTTCAACAGGGCAAATCACTTAGGCAAGGAGGTAGATGGATTGAGTGCAATCAACCAATTAACATGAACCTGTTCACATGGGAAATGTTCCACATAATCACAATTTATAGTCATAGATCCTAGATCCACAAGCATATCACATACTCACTACATAAAGCTAATTGTTATGAAATGAAAAAGTTCTTCAACTAAGATAGACAGACATAAATAAAGACAAGAACAAGTATTAATCATCATTGTAATCAGCAGTATAGATACTGCCTCTGTCGAAGTACTCTGACAAAAAAATTGTGATGTGGAAATCTCTTGTCAAATCAAGCCAATCAAATAAATCAATTAAACTGATAACGCAATCAGGAAAAGGAAATAGTAATGTGAAATAATTGCATAAATAAGAAAACAAACACTGTAATGTCACAATGACAGAAAACAAAGACAGGAAAATGATGCTCAACAGCTTGATTTCTGTTAGTGATTAAACTTTAAGGTTACTGCTGCTTTTTGTTAAGCTCTGCCTGAAATGTTTCATTTGTGGACGAGAGTAGATTTCAAAATGTTGATAGTTAAAATATTCATGCCAATTGATATTTTACAACTTTAACTTTTTCTTTGACTTTTTGTCAGGATTTCTTTGATTCTTGAATGTGAGATCTTTGTAGCTTTAAGATATTTCTTATTTGATCACATTTATTTGAATGTACAGTATAGTGCAATGAAAAAATCCAAAATGCTATCCCTAATACCTTTTATATTCAGACAATATCTGAGATTTGTCCCGCTTGTGTTAGTATTTAGAAGACCCTGTGGCAAACAACCATGCACTGCACTGGCATTTGCTCCCTCAGTCCACGTCTTTCCATTGTTTCCCAGACTGGCAGAGTTTATAAAAATCCAAGTCCATTATTAATGTTTTTAAAAACCCATCTTTTTCTTTAGCTTATTAACTTTCTATTTGTACATGCACTTCATTTATATTAGTGTACATTTGACTTCGCTGTGCAGCAGTTTGGTCAATATGTTTTGGTTTTTCATTTGTGTAATAAATAAATTAACTTGACTCTGGTATTATCCCAATAAGAGGGAAGCAGTGTTAACGGATAAACTGAGTGTGTTTGCTTACAAATGAGCTTTTGTCTAATTGCTGTTGATTTTGCCAAGTTTCAATCAATTGTATTTTTTAAGCTGTTCTCTTCTGCATTTAAAATAAACTACTTACAGTTAAATTGTTTCTAGACTTTTAAAACTCTGACAGGTAAGAAGTTGTTAATCACACTTTTAAATTGATAATTTAGTTGCGTTCCACGTTGTGTATAAAATCACATGTAATCTAAAATACCATCAACATGACTACTCACAGTGGTGTATTTGTTTCATCCATCCTTCACAGATGTGGTTTGTTTACAATGGAAAGTAGCTGCAGTGTTTATTTCAGTGGATTTTACCCCTTTGTCAATGTTTTGTGATGATTTTGCATTTGCATTTGTAACTGGAACCCCCTTGTCTCTGTTATTTATTTCTGAAAGTTACTGTATGTTTTGTTATTTTTTATTATGTAATTACTCAGTGAATGCGTTTGAATCTGCTGAGGAAAGTGAATTTTAATAAAGTGTAATTCAGTGTTCACGGAATACGTTTTAAGAACAGTTTTACAGGCTGCTAACAGTTAAATAAGTAGCGAATTCAGTAATGCGGTGTAACAAGATTAAGTTTCTTTATTAAAAATGTGGACTGTCCTTGCAGACCCGGCAGCAGGACAACTGGGAAGTTATCATTAGTTTAGTCAATGGGCACAAAAATCTTGATTTATGCCATCAAATCTAGGCCTACATGTGTGTTCATGCAAACCAACTGAAATTTAGATTTATTTATTTATGTGGAAACATATAACGTGTCCTCAGCCTGGTGTTTCTGTCCTTGTGAGCCTTTAAAGTGTATTAATTAGTTGTAAGTTCACAGTGTCTGTATTCCGGCACATCTTTTATCAATAAATGATTTGCCTATATTGTTTATCTTCTGCTGTCTATCATTTTCTGAAGAAATACACCACTAAAAAAAGAATATGGGACTGCCACCTAGACACCCTTGAGTCTCCAAGTGATGTGATTGCCGGGTGCTAAGTGGCCATTTTCTTTGGATAAACAAAGAACATTGATTATTTTGGCCACTTGGCGGCAGCACAAATAAGCTGTAAACACAACTCTTATGTGTCTTTAGCTTGAATACTTTTTTATGCCGAGCTTGCTGGCAAATAGTCACTTATTTACACATCCAGCAGACATAGACCAGAACAGTAAAGCTGCAGTCGTAAAACCAAAACAACAAGCTGAAAGACACTAAAACGCTCTGTAGAGCTGAGGGGAACTGCAGACTTTGGTAATAATTGTCTGTTGGTTCATTAAGTGACTCCTTTAACTTACAAGTTGTCATAGAATCCATTGTTAACATAAAAATATTGATTACAGCCACTTTAAATTAGTGGTACAGTAAATACTAACACAGATTGTATGCAGATCAGAGGTAATAGACTGGCTTCTGTTTGCAGTCCCCATCACACCTTAATTATTTAAATACATCATTTCTCCCATGTTTATTGTCATCAACAACCAACTCTGGTAGTTAATTCAAACAAATACGGTGATACCATTGGAGATTAGAAAAGTAAGACCCCTTCACCAATAAGTACACTCAGCTTGTGTTTGTTGTCCTTTTAGGTCTGTTATGTTCTCGAATTGAATGTGTCATTACATTACATTGTGCACGGCACAGCTTCCAATAAATGTGTTACATCCTGTTGACTGTGGGTGGCGTATCCCAGCTTAAGTACTGACACCAATGAGAGGGACAGGTCAGCTGCAGGAGAGCTTCAGTTGTCCTCTTACAGCTTTACAACAGCTATCATGCAGCTGATACATCTGGAAGCTGCAGTTATACTTGGTGAGTCAACTGTAACTTAAAAAATAACAAATTTATGACAAGAAAACCTTTATCTTAAAGGAATTTTTTTGTTGCCGTTAAAACTGCACCACTACTGTCTTGTAGTCTATAATGTTAGTACAGTTAACCAAAGTGTTTCTATAATCAGTGATGTTAACTTCTATCAATAACTGTATTGAAATTCACAACTTTTCAATAAATTCACCTAAAAGTTTTCAAGATACATAGATAACTTATTGGTATCTGCTTGTATTTCAGGGATTGTTATTCCCCAGATATTCAGCATCAGTGTGTCGTCTCCACTTTCTGACTGTTTGGCTTCTGTGGATACCTGCATGTCAAATTTATGCAAGCGTGAACCGGCATTTTACGTCGGCATCTGTGGAGGTAAAAGTGTCAACAATTTAGCATTTACTGCTGTGGGGCACTGGTACATGGTGCTGTCCTTATGTTTTCTAGTGGCATTATAAAAGTAATGATTACATCTCAAGGCTGAGGACATGATGCTATTTAATTGAATTGCACCTATTGGAGTATGGCTAAAATGTGATAACTGAGACAGTAGCCTGGAGCAAAGTTTATATAACTAAATAAATATAAGAAATAGGCTATATCACCTGTCTGTTTTGACACTAGAATCCTGTATTTTGATTGAGCATTTTAAGCTTTCACAAGAGAAACAATCAGAACAGCAGGCACATATGACACACCTGTTGCACAAACAAGACCTTGCTCGCTTATGGAAAATCCTGTTTTTCTGCCTCCCCCTGTTTGTGTTATTCAAGATGACGGGTGCCAAATAAAAGGCTCAGACATGTGTAACATGACCATCCAGACCATACTGAACCAATTTCCCACTCTGCAAGGGTGTGTGTGTGCCTGGGAGGAGGAGCTTTGTGACTCCATAAAAGCGTTGGCCACACAATGCCACCAAAAGCCAGGTGCAGTATTCTCAGCAGTCTCTAAGATAAGAATTTATAGGTGAAATACATTTTTTGTTTACCAAAGGTGATCTGGTGTTCTCTGTTAATGAACACAATTGTGCTGCAGAATGAGTGTCCTGAACAACAAACTGGCTTTAGTAAGCTTTTGCTGGAGAATCATATTTCCATTTATTTTTACAGCAGCTCAGCAGAAGAGGAGCACAGTGACGGACTGGCAGTCAAGCAGTTTAAAAGACTATGGTGATTATATTATTAAGGTGTATTGGATTCAATCAATATAAAAGTGATCTCAAAACTCACTCATATTTCTTTTTGCAGTTTATGATGGTGCTGGATCCTGCTTGGACCAAATGACAGTTTGTCTCAATGATGCAGTTTGCAACAGGTACCTGGCACCTGTTCTTCAGGAATGTACGGCAAACTGCAACCTTGATCGCTGTCAGGAAGCAACTCAGCAGTTTTATGGTAGCATGCCACACAACGTCGCAGAGATGCTGGTCATGTGTGAGTGTGAGGCTTCAGACGAGGACTGTCTAGATATGAAAAATCTTCTGCATGGTGGCACATGTGGAGATGAGCCTCGGATCTGCCAGGATACAATTAACCTGTGTGTTGATGACAGTAACTGCAGGTATGTTACCATTCTGTCTCTCTCTACAGTATATCTGACACTACAGTAGTGATACAGAAAAAATACATTATAGATCCGGTGTGTAACATTTTGGAGGATCTATTGGCAGAAATTAGAATTTAATATTATTAGGTATGTTTTCATTCGTGTAAAGTGTGAACCACAATGTTTCTACAGTAGCTCAGATCAGACAAACTAAACAGTGGCTCTAGAGAGGGCCACCGTAATTCCTGTTACTCACTTGGAAGGCTGAGCTGTATTCAGTTGGTTGCAATCTGCAACTTCACTGCTAGTTGTCACTAATTCCTAAACACTGGTCCTTTATTGCCATAAAGAAAGTTTTTGGAAACACAGAAGTTATTTGAGCATGGAAGTTAATTGTTTACCTCAAGATTATTATAAAAAATATTATTTCTATAAAATTAATAATTTTCTTTTTATGTATTCTGAGTCTAATCCACAGTTTTGATACTGTAAACAATTTGTTTTTGTGTGGACATGTTTAAGGTCTCCTCTCCTCTTTGGATCCGATGGATCTGAAATATACAAAGACAGTTCATTTAAATGAAGTTATAAATCCTATTTTTTAACCAGACTTAGAGTTTACAGACATGCTAGCGGCTCTTAATGCAAATGTCAACCCTCGTCATAACAATTCATCCTGAAGAGGAAACAATTGTCTGTACAAGATTTCATGGCAAACCCTCCCACAGGCTTGTTGTCGAGATAATTAAGAAGTGATTGACTGACTAAAACTTACAGGAAAAATAATAAAACATTCTGCTTCACTGGCTTCATCATCATTTTATTTAAATCTTTGGAAAACACATTGAGAGAGAACTCTTGTTTACAATGGTGGCGAGGGACAATAAAAATGAAAATGTTATTGAATAGAATTCTACTCCCTAATTAATTTGTAATTGTTATACAGTGAAGAAACACTGAAGCACTTCAGTCCAAAGAGTTTTACAATTTGCCTCTCATTCACTCATTTTCACACAGAGGGGAGCGAGCTACCATGCACAGATCTGATCTGACCATCTGGGGCAGTTTGGGGTTTAGTGTCTTGCCCAAGGACGATTTGCTCTAGCAACAATTTCAAATAACAAAGGCATTTTATTTGCATATACTGCAGATGTGTTGGTAATTTAAATCTGAATTTACAAGTGAACTCATGAATTAGTTGCTTTGGGCACAATACTACATAGTTTAGAACTGGCTTGGCACAATGGACATGTGTTTATGGTACACTTTTAATTTGCATTCATTAAGTTAAAATGTCTACAGGCTGTTATTTAGAAGAAAAAAAAGTCATGTCACACATTCTTTCATCTTTATATCCCCAGTGCAGTTGGAGAGGCTCTTTGCTTTGCGGTTTCCCCAGAGCCACTAGTCACACAATTAAAATTTAGTAACAAAATTAATGTGAATTATCATTAACATAATGGTCCATCACAGGATGTTAAACATGATGTGTATTCTTCCTAAAGCAAAGCACCTTGCGACTGCACCTAAAATGTGTTTTCTCTCATTTACCAGAGATCTGTTGAGAACTTTCCAAACCAAATGCTGGAGCTCTGAAGAAGCACCATGCCACAATGACCTCCAAAACGATGAATGTTTCACCCTGATGGATCCAGCTCTTATCCTTGGTGCAGATCCTGAATGTAAAATGGCCTTCTTGGACACTTGGGGCACAGCACTTCACTATCCTTGTACATGCAAAGGAGTGAGCAATGACAATCTACTGATGTGCAACATGATTCATGATGTACTTCATAATAGATCACACTTCAGTGAGTAGGATTCTGATTCACAGGCATTTACATAATTAAATGTGTTTCTTGGAAACATTTGAGAGCATTTTTTTTTATGTGTATTTTAGTGATATCTTGGAAAAGCAGCAGTGGTCCTTCTAAGCCTCCTGAAATCAATGAATCTGAACAAGGTCATACATGGTCAAATGGTAAATGTACAGTACATATAAGTTGGGACTAAATGGTGACTCTAAACTGCATAGCTGTAGGTGTGAGTGTGAATGGATAAGTGGATAATTGCAATGAATGGATGAATGGACATCAATACAGTTTTTAATATATTGAATGTTGACTATTTTGTCCTTTCAGATTATCTACTGTATGCTTTTACCGCTGTGCTTCTTGTTGGAGTTGTTATATTAATGCCTCTGGCTGTTGTCAGTAAAATATGGTAAGTATGTCAACATTATGTTAATCCTGTAAAGTCTTTCTGAGATTTAACGATGATGATGAATACTTATTAACTTACTATTTATTTTTTCTTGTAGGATGGCGAGAAGAGATAAAACAAGATTTCACCATCCGCAGAAAAGCAATTGCGTTGTTATTCTCTGATGTTTATGCATCTGTTAAATGTATGTCATCGATAGTAATGCATCATTTTGTTCAAGATTTTTAGATGATCACATTTATAAGATGCCTTTGAGTTTGTTGATATATTTTATTCAATGTCTTTAGTATGCCTTTGATAACAAATGTTGCTATAAGATTAATCACTCTGAACAGCAGTGTCTTTAAAAAAACAAACAAAATCAATTTGATTGATTGATAACAACCTATATTTTTACAGTTATAAATGCCTGTAAAATACTGCTGTGACAAGCTCAAGTGTCATTTTTTAAAAAAGATAACTGTGTTAACTCACATGTTTTTTCTTTCTTGAATGACAAAAGAAAACCTTTCTCTCTGCAGTATCTTCAGAATCGATCAAAGGTCTTCAGTCATTAACCTTGATTCACATCGACTTGAGCTATCAATCTCCATAAGAAAATTTTGATTTGACCGACACATTTGAGATTGCTTTATGTCTTCAGTTGTCTTTGTCTGATGATTTATTGGTGCTCTAGGCTTCTACAGCATCTCATAATAAACTTCACTTTGAACACTGTGACGTTTCAGTATGTTCAACTGTTGTAGTATAGTTTCTGAGGCTGACATCTGACAAAGAGCAGTGTTTACGGGAAAGCCTGCAGTTTAGATAAGATAAACAATGGATGCTGCTCTTCTGTTTTCTTTTTGAAACAGTTGCAGTAAATGCTTTGATTTAGCAAATTGTGCTAAAACATTCATTCTTCACTTAGCTGTAAGCGGGAACAGTATTGTCATATGCAAAACAATTACAGTGAAGCTGTGGTTGACGGTTAAATTCTTAGATCTCAGGCTCCCACCAACGGTGCTCTTATACTGATATGCAAAAAAACATATAAAAATCACGCAATTGTAACATAATCTAATTAGATTCATAAAACAATGCAGCGGCTAAAATATGGACATAGGCCAATCAATGTCACTTGCAATCGTATATCTTGATAAAGACTAAAACTAATGTTCAATGTTTTCTCATACTTACCGTTTTAGTTTTTAGTTTAGTTTTAGTTAACTGTAATAACCTTCTTCTTTACACCCGACATTCACCTTTCTGTGGAGGAAGATTTTGTGTTTTTCTTCACCTTCATCGTGTGGAATGTACACTTGGGTCTATGTAGCCCCTGAAGCCCTGAAAGACCTTTTTTTTTTTTTATCTTGTGTGCACAAGATAACATGTGTGCACAAGATAAAAAAAAAAAATAATCTTCTGGGAGTTTGGGGCTCCCTATAGGTTTGTGCCTACCAGCCAAAATAGATAAATGAAAGAAAAGACAGAATCAAAAGGGAGGCACTGCTGAAATCACTGTAATAAACAGTATCAGACATTATACAATTGTATTATTTCTGTGTAAAAAACTGTTATGATAAAAAAAAATATGCTAATGAACTAATAATATTTACAAGAAGAGACGTGAAGCTGGACAGGCTTCACAGCTACGGGCAGTTTAGATTCAATGTTTCATCTGACCTGAACATGTCTGGACTGTGGGAAGAAGCTGCACCAAAGGAAACCCACAAAGGCCGACACGGGAGAGATCATGACTGTGAGTGAACTTGCAAATGCATGCTAACTGTGCAAAAAAAGACCCCCGTGGGTTGGAAGCCAGACCATTCCTGCTGTGAGGCCGCAGTGGTAAACTCTTAGTCGACCATGAAGATGTAGGATATAAATATATGAGAGGAAGAGGGGAATGAAAGGAACTTATTTCATCTTCTGCACTAAATGCATGTTCTATACATTCTTCACCATTTTTAATACCCTGATGATCAATGAACAATTTTCTTCTAACCCTTAAAGTCACGCAGGACGTTGTGCTTCCTCTCACACTAGGGTTGTTTGTGAGGTCTTCAGAGATGATGAGATCCTTGCCCAGCATTTTCCTCCCACAAGATCATTTTCAGTTGAAGTTAGGATATTCTTTGCAACTTCAGACAGAAAAATGGTTTGTCTGAGTGGCAGCAGGACTTATCTAGAATCCTGGCATTCACCCTCACCGTGCTCCAGCATCACTGAGCTTTGTGTGATGGCTGCTGCTGGCAGCACAAGGGCAGCTTGTGTGTACACTTATATCTCTTGGCCGTTTGGCTGAAAGGAAGAAAAATACAGACAGTGCTGAGTCTCCTCTATAACTAGTTATGGCTAATTGTTACAGTTTAGAGTTCTTTCACTCTGTTCAATCTGAATGAACTGCAGCCTTTAGCAATACTGGAAGAGGGGCTCAATGGATGGAAATTGCAGTCAGTTACACATCTTTACACACATATCTCTAAAGCTACTGAATGGATAGCCATGCAATGTAGTACAGATATCTGTGATTCTTAGATAATTAATTCTATTGACTTTGGTGATCCCCTGACTTTCATTATAGCGCTACCAACAGGTCACAAAGTTTTCACTAAAAATCCAGAGGATAGAATGACAGAGTTTGGTACACACATTCATATACCCTTCAGGACGAACAGCAATAGGTGCCCTGACTTTCCACACTGGTTTATAACCAAAGACCACTAGGCAAAGGTTAGCATGCCAACAGGCTATACTAAGAGGGTGAATATGGTAAACATCATGGCAGCTACATCAGCAACATATGGTAAAATTGTCACTATGACCATGTTAACTCACTGATGTTAGCATTTAGCTCAAAGTACAAACTCATGGAGCAGCTGGAGTGTAGTTAAAATATAAATACTGCCTTTAAAGGACCAGTGTGTAGGATTTAGTGGCATCTAGTGGTGAAGCTGCAGACTGCAACCATTTTAATACAGCTCAGCCTTCCAAGAATGTAGGAGGAAGTACAGTGGGCGATGTTGTGTTCAGTAGTATTTGTTATTTTCTACATTATACCACAAGGTGGTTCTGTGAGCTAGTGCACAAAAGGAAAAAGGCAGGGCATGCCTTGCTTCTGTTATTAAAATCACTAACTATATTACCTGATCCTGATTCTTTCAACACTTGAGCTCATGAATAGCCCTATCTAGAACCAGGGGTTTGGTATGTCCTTTCTGGCCTACTATAGAAACATGGTGGTTCAACATGGCAGCCTTCGTAGGAGAAAACCCGCTCCCTCAGCAGGTAACAATAAGTCACTTTAAGGTGATGAAAATGCAGCAATTCTTATTTTCAGGTGATTATTATACTGCTATACTATTAATATTATATTTATGCCAGTAGATCCTCCTAAATGTTACACACTGAGCCTTTTAAATTGTGCTTTAGGTTTAACACAGGTGTCAGTCAAATTCAGCTTTGTATACAGTATCAAGTTACATGTATTCATAACTGTGCAAAATGTGAATCAGGCCACTAACACTGAATCAGCTTTAGCCAAGTTGTCAACACTGCCAACTGGTTTGTTTCAGGATCTTGAGAGCAAACAGATTCCTCATTCCCATCCAAGTCTGAATTAAAATCCCACTGTGAGAAATATTGTGTCAAATTGCTAATACCCAGCCTCTAAAACCAACCCAGATAAAAGTGTGTGAACCTTTAAAAAACCTTCCCAGAAAAAAGGAAACACTTTGATTAAATGACTCCATATTGAATCACTTGCATTATACCACAGAAATCAGGAACTGAGTAGATATACACGTTCTTACAGACAATTTTTACTGCAATACCAGTAAAACTGTATTTTGTCTTACAAGCTATTCATCCTATTGAATATTTATTGTTTCATCTTCCAAAGTTTCACTCACAAGCTTTCTCCTTATTGGATTGCTGTAATCTCATTTCCCTCTTTCTACAAGCGGATCATTCCCCAAAAAATATCTCTAAGCATGACTGCACTTGAATGCATAATTTTTTGATGAAAAAAAACATTGCATACAGGATTAAAATGGACCATTGTGGGTAAGCAATTACCACATTTATGCAAATGTACCAGTTTTTCCTATTCTCTATTCATTAGAGTCGAGTTTTGTCAGTCCCAGTTCACACCCTGTCAGTTTTCACTCTGCCATCCTAATTATACTGATTTACTTCAGGGACGTAAGATGATTGCAACAACAATTAACTGGCTGGATAGAAAACCAGGGGTTCCTTAAGTCCTGAGGACCCAGACAGAGACATCCACAGTAAACATTTTGTTATTTCTTTATTTGGATCATCTTAATCCTCCAGCATGTGTGAACATTTTTCTGAAGCACAATAGATACGGTATTTTTTTTCCCCATCTTTCTTTGGATAAAATCCTGTCAAAATTCAGTGTCACATTCTATTTTTGATGTTATTTTATCATGTTTTACAGAAAGCACAGAGGGATGTAAAAAGACAAGCAGACATGAGCAAATGCAACCACATTTAACTTTACACTCAAAACAGACGATCCCCACACAGTAGCTTATGTCATGGTAAAAAGAGAAGGGTCACTTTTTCATTGATCTTTGGCAAACCTGAGGCAGAACATTTTCAGAGACTGCTTTTATACAGTTATTTTTGTGGTAGTTTGAAAGGAGTCTCCTTTTCAATTACTGTTCAAACAGGACCTGATTGAATAGGAAAGCTGAAAAGGTCTTCAGAGTGCATAAAGAGATATTCATATTTTAAAAGCAAGAAAGAGCTTTTTCTTTTTGCAGTCTTCGCTATTCTATTTATTATCACCACAGGTGTTCCTGTGCTGATAATGAATTGAGTTCAGCAATTTAGCCAAAGCAGACTAAATTCTTATTGTGTTACTTTATTTTATTATAAGGCCACAGAGCTATGCAAAGTAATAAAACTGACTGACCTTTACAAGGTTTCTTTGTCAGAAACAAATAAATATGGGAAGGTTTTAAAATAGAAGTTTAGAATTCAGTCTTGGCCTGTATGTATTCATAACTCATCAAGTCATCAATGAGGACATATTAATCACAAATGAATACTCTTCTTGACAGTTAGTTTATCGTCTTTTGTTACCCAATATATATATATAGCCAATATGACCTGTCCTTTCTCTTTATGTAATGTCCAACCACACAGAGCCAAACAAAGTATCTCATAAAAAATGTGATGATTCAGTCGATCATAATGAAACAGACATGAATTAAAAGGTATTGAGCTGAGCCAGAAAGAGATGATTTTGGACCAAAAACACAATATTGAAAATCTCATAATTCTTGAGAACATTTGGATGAGATGGAAGAGAATAATATATTTTAAATACGGCAGCATAGGCAACAAATTTGAAGGCAGCAACAACAGGGGAAGCACTTTAAAGGGAACAGAGTCAGATTTAAATATATTCCTTTACAGAAACACATCACAGTGTCCTGCCTCTTGCCTTGGCAACCTTGGAGTTTGTCTTGCGACATAAAGCATTGCAGATGAAGTCACCAGCCTCTACAACCTTGGCAAGGTTCACACCCTGCAAAAATTATTTTTGTGGCATCAGTTAAAATGCAATGTCTACAGGGTGATTTTGTCCTAAAGACAGGTTCCTCATGAATTTAAATACATGCGTGCAACAGGTGAAGGAAAATTAAACTGTAGTGACAACACTCCACCAGCAGGGGTAGGAATTGTTAAATAAATTGTTCCTGAGATGGGGCATGCAACACTGTGGGCTTGTGTAAGCTGTGTAAAACCACCAATATCATAAAATAAACATTTACAGAACAGTATGTTTGCAGAACGATCTGTTTATGTAAATGAGCTCTAAAAGATTGTGTGAGTTTGGCTGATCAGTTGGGATTATACAGATATGAAATACAGCAGGTCCGTCAAAGTGCACCTTAAAGACATACTTACAGTTTCGATTCCCATGCCATGAAGCATGTAGAGAACATCCTCTGTTGAAACATTGCCTGATGAACCCTGAGCATACGGGCAACCTCCCAGGCCAGCTACTGCAGAATCCACCACACAGACCCCCATCTGCAAGGACACACAACAGAGACATTCAGCACCTCCACACAGGCTTCACCTCAGGTAAAATCCAGGAACAAAGATCCTTGTTCTGTTGGATTGTTCTGCCCGGTGCAGCACGCCTTGCCAAGGCTGTGGTCGTGTTTTACAGCTGTTTAGGAGAACTGTGGGCTTATGTCTTGAAGATGAGTGGGCACAGAATGTCCTGCAGTATGGCTTAGTCATCCTCTTTGTCAGCTTAAACCACTAGCACCACATAATTAAGGCCTTGTTCATATGAGAGGAACATTATAAATCCTGAACAGAACATTTCATATGTTTCTGATTCTCCTGGTTACTCATGTTTTTACAGCACTACTCTGCCCTTAAACCATGGGGATTCACTTTCTTGCCACATTGAGAAGACATTTTTTCCTTGGCTGGATGGTGTCCTCTTACACTTCGCCAACAATACAGGAATTGTAACATTACTACACAAATGGAGAGCTGCTACAAATAATCATCAATGTCATAAATTATCTCACTGATGACCTTGGTTGAACATTTTCCTGATCTATGTGGGACAAAATATACGAATATTTACACGTGCAAGAGATACATTTAAAGTTTTTTTTACATGTTTGACGGCTTACAGTAAACATAATTGCTATATTTGTGTGGGAAACTTTTCTGGTTTTTGTTTTGTTTTGTTTTATTTTTTTACTGCCTACAATACCGAGTGTCTGGCCTCCATATGAAATGTAATTATGCATTTTCAGTTGTTTTTCTAAATTTTACTGCTTTTGTTGTACAGCTTACCAAACATCCTAAAATGCAATTTTTTGTTTTTAATCTTCTTTTGTTTTGATGTTAATGGTGCAAGAAAAGTTAACTTATATTTTACAATCTTTCTGAACGCGCATAAAGAGACAGTTCCTGCCGTCGAAGGGTATAACTTAACCACAAGTATAAACTTTGTTTTCACACCAAAAAATGATGAAGCCAGACCTTCAGTTTTTCACAGTCATTACGGACTAAGGTCTTGGGATGTTTTCCACATGTCCCTGGGATTGTCATGAGAATATTAAAGATGTTTTCCAGCTTCCGTGGCAGAGCCAGATGTCAGAGGATCCCACAGTGAGACAAAATTAACACGCTGATCCTCTCAGTGGCATCGGGTCATGAAGGGCTTTCACCCTGTGGAGCAGAACCAACCAAGCTAAATTAAGAGAATCTCAATTACCTTTTTTTGAACAATGCTGCTAATTGGTTGCTTTTCCTCCAGACAAGAACCTACTTCTTTCAGTGGCTGTCTGAGCCAGCCGTAATTGCTGTTTGTGTTGGCAAGGGAAGAGGAGGAGGTGGGGTAGAAGGAGGAGGAGATCTACTCCGGTGTGTGCAGTGCACGAGATTTCCAGACCTTGGTTAAAGCCAGAGCAGGATATTGTACTAGGCAGAATTTTTTGTAGTATAAACATGGAGTTGTAATCTACCATGCCAATCCTCTCGCTTTCAGCTGCTAACCGTGTAAGGCCGGGGGTCTTCAGCATACTGTTTCCGAGAGGAACAAAACAGACCCTTCAGCGGCGTGCCCTGTTCCTCTGGACACTAATCGTGCAGGAATTGGTGGTCAGCAGCTCCAGCTTGCCAATGCTCAGTTAGGTTCACACTGCCCAGAAACCAGATGTGCACTCAGTTTTAAAAAGCCATATTCAGTGAGCTGTGGCCATATAAAAACAATGCATTCCTGGGTAAAGACACATGCATTTTTTAAACTTGCATGATTTGGGATAAGCTCGTTGACATTCTACACTCTGAGTGGACAAGGCTGAAGATGGACATGATCCCATTTTGGTTTTATAACTGCGTCAGAGAGAGAGGAAGAGAAAGAGCGTGTATTCACTGAGGGATATGAAGCAGTGATGCTTTACCCACTGCTAAATAAACTGGGAAGCTGAAAGAAACTGTCACAGATCCACTGCTGACACATATATCACCTCTTCCCAGGAACACATAAATAAGCTTGACACTGGAAAGCACAGTTATTGGAGGGCAGCTAGGATATAGACAAAACAAACATATAAAGAATAAATAAATGACATTTTTACTTCATGATTTATTGGAGCATAAAAATGTTGAACTATATACTATAATAAAGTCATTCACCTTCCATATCAACCCCCTTCACGGATTACTCAGTTTCATGAATGCAGAACAAACAATAACCACGACAATCTGTCCATTTTATGTCTTTATGTTCAGGTGGAAGCTGTGTGGTCAGTAAAGAATACTTTTTTATGAAAGGTTTGGTAACCACTGTCTAACTACTGTAATTATTAGGTTTAATATTTAACAATAATATTATAACTGCCAGCCTATTCTATTTTTTTTTATAACAAAAAAATACCAGAAAGGTGTGTGTGTGTGTGTGTGTGTTTGTGTGTGTGTGTGTGTGTTCGTTGTGTTTGTGCTTCATGCATCCTTAGCATTTATTTGAAAGATGATACTTTTGTTGTTCTCCGTGATGTTTGGTCTTGTCGGTTAAGGTTGTGAATGTCACATTGTGTGTGCTGTCCGTCATGGTTCTATCCTTCCATTTATTCTTTGAGTATCTAAAACCGGCCCTATAAATAAAATGTTTTATCTATTATCATTATCATTTTGTGATTGAATATAATTGGATTGTATAATTGTTTATTTTAGCTTAAGTGTGTATAATTATTTATTATTGGATTTGATTGCGTGGTTTCAATGGTGATAAAGATTACAATAATGATGGTCATGGTCACAATATCATAATAGTAAAAGTCAATTATAACATTATACCAACACCTTTCAATAATAAATCAAGCAAAAACATGAAATCAGACCAAATAAAGTTGTACTGGAGTTATCAACACAGTAGTCAACACAATTAGAGCAGATATTTGAATGTAAAGCAAAGTTATTGAGTTATCATGGTTGAGCATTTCCTCATGGACAGAGACAAAAAGAAAATTCTGAAGATGAATGTTATTGTTAAGTGTGAGCACAAACAGGTTATACTGTATTCCCCAGCTGCAGCAGTACACAATACACCAAAATTGCGGGTAAGAATAAATAATTTTCCTTGCCAAGCCTGTGAAATCTAAGTACATACGTTGTCATTGTGTGACCTGCCAGGAGTAGGTTTGTAACAAAGCCCCCCCAGACCTCCAGAAAAAAAAGAAAAGGTACAAAGACTGAGGAATGTCTTTATCAGGAACAAAAGAGGTGACTCAGGGCTGACAGCGCTGGGGGAATTCATTTCTCTCCCAGTTGGTGGTGTGGACTTCTGGCACACAGTAATGAAAAGCTATGATAAAATCTTTCATTTCCATCTTGTTTATGGGTGAGCAAATGGTAGGATAAATATTCCCGGCTGCTATTATTTTCTGGGGCCACAGGGCAGCTGTGATAAATCATTCTAAATATGATCCACAGAGGAATTTAACCGTCCCTCTGCGCTTTTTCACTCCATCCACAGCCATCCAAAATCAAAGCTAACTTGAAAAATATTTGCTACTTTACACACGGACATTGTGGAGCTATTCTTCATCACAATGTTGCAGATGAATAGCAGCACAGATAATCGAGAGAAAAGCATCAGTATTAGAGAAAATCAAACCATAATTTGAATCCAAAATAAACACAATTATTGTGTTTTGTGTCCTGACAGAGTTGACTGTGAAGAATGTGCTGGTGCAGTAAACATGTGAAAACTTTTTCTGTTTTTTACATTGAAGTTACGAGGCAAGTATCTGCTATCTAAAGTTATAAAACTATGAACTGCCATGTAATTCATAAGTTAAAGTTCCCCTCTACTCCAAAATATTTTTTTCTTCTTGTTCCTACAGTTGGATGTTTGAACTTCACTGTGCCTAATGATGGATGTGCAGAGTTTGACACTAGAAGGATGTTTTCATATTGATCAGCTGAAAGTTTTTATATGCTCACTGAAAATCTGATTTTAAGGGGCGGGCCTTACGAGCATAATTCGTGACATCACAAATAGTGGTCCAGTATGCAACTTATACAAGTGTGATGTAGAAACCTGAAACCAGACACTGAGAATGAACTTTACAGTGAAGTAGGAGACATCTTGCGTCCAGCAGAAATTAACACATTTAGCATAATTTAATGAATTAACCAATTAATGAGGTAGAGGGATTCTTAGATTTTACTTATTTGAGGATCTTAGCTACACATATTGGTTCCAAGCAGACTATTCATATATATATATATATATATATATGTCTTACTACATGTCTGGAGGGGATCTTTAATATTACTTTCTACATAAACATGCAGTGGCACTGGGTCATGAAGAACTTTCAGCCATGGAGCAGGACCAAGCAAGCTAAACTCAAAGGATCTCTGTTGCCTTTTTCTGAACAATGCTCGTAATTGGTTGCTTTTCCTCAGTTTATGAGCATCCAGTCAAATTTCATAGTATACAGGATAGTATATAGTAGACAGAAATGCAGTAAGAAGTAATAACTGGCCTACTTTGGTCAATGTCAGAAATAAAATATAAGAAAAAAAATGTAATATGTGAAAATCTACAAGCTATATACTTGGTAACTATTTTTTTTATTTAAATTTAAAATTATTATTAGCAGTTTTAACATTAAGGTGCTTTGTCTTTGGGTGGGTGTGTAACTCTTAGTTAATTAAATGTTTTCCTGGTCTTAAAACAAAGCCTTTGTTATGGGTTGTCCTCTAAATTAATGACATTACTACAGTAATTATGCAGTATTTAGTACACAAACTACTGTAAAAGTCACAAGCCATAATTATATTCCAAGTGCTACCAAAGTTCTTGGAGTTGGGTCTGCGGCTTCAGCGCCATTCATCACATGCTCAGCAGCGGGCGAATGAAAGGATCATTTTCCACTGGTCTTTAAGCGCAGCATTGTCAGAGAGTTCAACAGCCAAGCGACAGATGAGTTAGGAGCCCCCCAGGGCCCTTCTATCCACCTAGCTCTCAGTTGCTTTGTCCAACAGACACTGAATAGGTGAGCCTTTGTGCTGACCCCCTCACATCTGTTGACCCACCCAGCCCCCAATGAGCTTCCTCCTCTGCAATGACAATGTGATCCAGAGAACTGATACAGCCATATCTGTGTTACCTCTGTTTTATGTCTGGATTTATGTCAGTTTTACACTCGCTATGGGCAAAGTGGCGAAAAACACCCCGACGAGAGCTCTTCCACAGGGGTTTACAACCTAATTACATTTTTGTGAGCTGTGTAGAAACAGAGTATATTACTGTAATAGTCCACTTTTTTTCTTCACTACAAAACGTGTGTACTGTGATGGAAGGGCCCATTGGAAATATCTTATGTTCATTAAGATTCTGGGATTTTTTTTCAGTGGGCAGTTTGTGAATCATCTTGCTTTGTGGCGAGGTTTAGATCATGTTTCTTAATGCCCCTCTTCCTTGCTGACTGATGGTTCCCGGTTCTTTCTGTGTCCCATTGTAACCTACACATTTGTTTTGTGCATACTCGCCCAACAGAGGATACATTCATAATGTCATAAACTGACACACTGTCATTAAAGCTCAGGGCAGATTCAGGTGTACAATGAGTTTCATAAACATCGAGACAGCGATACAGTGTTCAGCTCAATACTCAAAATGACAATATTTAAGAGGAGAATGTCAATAGTATTTTTTTTATTTATATTAGATGAATACATTCTGCATGTGATTATATTCTTGTAAGCTCTAAAATATGTGACTTTTATATAATTTCAAGCAACCGTAGAATGAAATTTGCCATTTATTTTGGCCATCAGCCTAAATGAGGGTTTTGTTGAGAATTTATCTTCCTTTTGCCTGATTCCAGTGGAAAATAAACACTACTTATCCTTTGCTCTTGGTAAAAATGAAAAAAAGATGCTGTCTTTGAATCTACTGTAACGTGTGCCCCAAAAATTGATAGATTGGGAGCAGCTACACATATGATTATCCCCAGCAGGAATAATGATTTAAAGCCTCAGAAAAGACTTGTGATCTCTACAATGTTGGCAGTTACTTAAGGAAGTTGAAAGATATCCTGGAACAAGAATCACCACCTCGTCTTTGCTTCCACATCTGGCTGCTCCTCTTCATGTCATCATGAGTAACAACGTTGATTTATGCAAAGGCTGGGCAGTTATCCATAATCGTCCTGCGGTTCTCCACAAGAGTGTTTGTATTCATCAGAAGGAGAAGGACGTGCATGTGAAGGAGAAGGTGCCCAAAAAAAACCATGCCAAACCAAAGCAGTCGAACAATTTAACATGAGAGGATGTGCGGCTCAAGAGGATGAAGCATTACTGTCCTGAGCTCATACAGAGGAGAATCTACACTTCCAGCTCTGAGGTAAATGGGCCTCCTAATTTTCTAACCAAGCCAGTATTTCTACAGACCTCTGCAAGAGGAAGCCCTGGCACTTTCCACATCCCTCACACAAAGGTTAAGATGTTTTTTCTTCATCTAACAGAGGTGTGACTCACGCCGGTCCTCCTGGAGTTATCAGAGCTCACGTCTTCCTTCCTTACTTCTTACTTCAAAGAGACCTGATAATTTTCTTCCTTCTCAGAGATCCCACATTACTTCATCAAAGCAGAGATGTCAGCTCTCAAAGATGTCTGTTTGATGTATGCCAGGTTTTGAGAACTTTCAAGCTCTTTCCTTGTTGTTTCCCAGAATTCACAGGTTCCTCCACCCCACTTTTGGAGCAGTCTTGGAGTCGTTCCCATTCATTTTAAGAACTTCCAGAAATGGCAGGTGCCTTGAGTGATTCTCACCCAGAGTAAAGTAGCACAGTCTTGCCAGAGAGAGCAGCACTTGTAAACCTTTACAACAATTTATTTTACAAAGATGGATAGACTGTTATAAATCTGGGTTTGGGGTTTTGTTTGTGTGTTTAATTTTTTTTCTTTTTTTCTTTTGCCTTCATTGTTAATGTTTATGTATTTTGTGTTTGAGGGCCCTCTTGTAAATGAGATCATAAATTCCAGGAGGTGTAGCTTTAAAGTTTAAAATTAATTTATAATGGACATTTTTTTGGGTGTGTTCATCTTAGCTCTTACAGTCATTCTTTATAATAATAAAACAACTAGGTTTAGATGGTCAAAGTTGAATAAGCCAATGCAGTTATGCACAATGCAGTAAATGTCTGTGATACATAGCCTGGCTTTTAAACAATCAAATTAAGTAAGCACTGCTAATACAACAATACTTAAACACTCTACTTCTTCTGATTTTAGTGATAATTATTATAGTAATATTAATAATCACAACATAATCAATCATTATGGCCAGTGGTTACAGAAGTTTTAAGATTACTCTGAGTTCTTACCTGAAGTGCAGTAAGGATGTTGGGCAGTGCTTGCCCGTAAGTGTCATGGCAGTGAACTGCGAGAGCATCCGCAGGCACCTCCTTCATCACACACTGCAGCATCTTAAACATGGAACCCGGAGTACCAACACCGATGGTATCCCCCAAGGAAATCTCATAACAGCCCATTTCATATAACTTCTTTGCCACCTAAAGAAGAGTGAAAATATGGAAAAATGTTCTTGTTAAAAGGAAATAATACAGTAAAAGTTAATGAGTATTTACAGTATCATTTCAATCATTGGTTTAATATTGAAATAAATAAAAAAAAATAATAATATACCTTAAAATCTGACAAGTCTTTAATAATTTATTTATTCATTGTTAATAATAGTTCAACCTGTAGCTACAGCTGGAATACGGAGAACTTGCTCAATGGTTGAAACAAAAAAAACAAAAACACAACACAAGCCCTGTGATTCATGCAAAGACAATGAACTTGAAGTTTTTTAGCTTACATATTTATACAAAGCTTTTGCATTAAGAGTTTCTTAATGCAAGAAAAAAAGAATAGAAAAAAGAAAAAAGCCACTTGATCCCCAGACCATTACAGATGCTGCTGAAATAAGAGCCTGCACTCCTGTAGCTTTGTGAAATGAGCATCATTCATCTCAAAAATTCACTATGTGAAGAAAAAAAAAGACGACCAGGAAGTGGTATGCTTAAAGAACACTTAACCAATGTCATCTACTAACATCATCTTCTAGTATATGTTTGCAAAACCTGTATTTTGTTAATGAGTTCAAATATGCTATGTCTGTGTTGTAAATAAGAATGTACAAGGTTTATCTCACCTCAGCAACTTTGGAAGGTTCAATGTGTCCCTCATGGGGGCATCCAAGGGCACAAGAAACATATCTGAAAGAGCACAACACAATTTAAATGTGTGTATGTAACGTTTGATGTTACTAAGTGTTAAACACTTTGTGGATGTAGCAGCAATTCATCGTAATAAAAATCATCAGAATATTTCACAAGCTTAAATGAGGATGAGCAGATTTTTGTATTTTTGGCAGTTCGTCTGTTTGTTTGTGAACTATAGACTGATCCGTGATTAGATTCTGGTGGTGATCCAGATCTGGATTCTGTGCCATTTGTCACTTGGAAAGTGACCGTGTTTACACTAATCCACTGTTGTCCCGATGTGTTTATCTTTTTTTGGACAGAGAGGCTCGTATAATCTAAGAAAACATGCATTATTGCAGTGGCTTGCTTTTTCCGTGTATGACAAAAGGCACGACTATATTCAGTAACTTCCCCCCGTTTGGTTTGCTCTAACGTCCGTCTGCACTTGAGGTTTGCTAATGCATACATGAAACCTAAAGAACATCTGGCAGTTTTGTTGTAAAGGTATCATTACTGGATTGTGTGCTTTCTCCTACATATAGAAACTGCTGTTTTTCAACAGTCTTGTTTTCATTTGGAGTAAAAAAATAAATGTGATAATCAGTGTAAAATCTGAAAGTGATTAAAACGTTATGTGTGCTTTCACTCATAGTGACCATTAATATCCCAAATACTAACCCACGGACTGGAATCTGTTGCTCTTTGGCAGTGTTAATGACTTCCTCAAACCTCAGCATGCTTTCATCAATAGAGCAGTTAATATTTTTTTTACTGAAGGTTTCAGACGCTGACCCAAACACCGCCACCTCAGTAGCACCAGCTGCAACCTTAAAGGAGGAGAGAAAAATGAACTTGTAAAACAGTTTTGAACACTGTGTTGGAGTCACACTTACGTAAGTGTACAAATTATGTGGCAGAAAAGATTATAGCGCCAACAATTAACTCAAATTGACAAGCATGGGTAAACAGTTATGGTTTATACAGCAGAGATCATCATGCTGAAGTGAAAATGAAGGCTTACAGCATCCTGGAAGCCTTGCAGGTTAGGTGTCAAAACAGGGTACTGAACATGAGGAGCTCTCTGGATTCCTCTGAGTACCTCAGTGTGGTCTGCCATCTAAACGAAGGTGGGAAAACATATGATGTAGAAAAATAAACCTTTAACATCATCCTGGGCAAATGTTTTTTCACACGCTTGTAGGCAGCAGAGATTAAGGACAGAATTACTTTGTCATGTCACAGTATAAACAAAACAACATGTTCGTCTTTTCTTGTTTTCAGGATGTAAATAGCGGTACAGTTAATGACAGAGAATTTAGAAGGCAACTGTATGAAGAATATCTTTAAATAGTTGTTCCAAAAGCACCTGTGAGTCCAACAAGGATACTAGAGGAGCACATTTTCCTCAGTACTTACGCAGACAAGAAAGAGAGCCTAATAAATCACTCAGCACTCTGTTGCTGTGCACAAAGAAGAGTTATTACCTGCGGTACCCACTTTGAAGAGACAAAGCTGGTGGCCTCAATCACATGCAGGCCTGTTCCTGAGAGCATGTCTATCAGCTGGATTTTCACCCCTGTCGGGACAATTTCCTGGGGAACAATGAAACTGAAACAGCTCTTTCTGGATTTGATTCCACTCAAGACGGGAGGTACAAGATGCAGATATCTGTCAGATTTATATTTTTTTGCTACACTGCTTGCGAATCACATTAATATCTATATTCACATGCTGAATTTTGCACTTGCTGAATACTTTAAGATCTATCAAACAACAGGCGTGCAATACGGAAATGATAAAGTAGTGACAGACTAAGCAGAGAAAACTAAGCCAGAGGCCGTGTCATCTTTCCTATTCAATTTCAAAGAAAATGTGAAACACATGCTGGCAATTATGGCACACAAACCCATATGTTATGGATTGTTTTATGTATGAAAGAGACAGAAAAAATGGGAGATTCCCCGGGGATGATCATGTATAGTAACACACAACAAGGGTGCATACATATAACTATAAATGAGTTTTGTGACTGGAATGACAGTGTATACCTTTTCATTTTGAAGTCCATCTCTCGGCCCAACTTCAACTATTTTAACAAACTCTGGATACTCATGTCCTGTGATGGTCTGGGGGAAAAATATCAAAGAGAATTAGGAGGATTACCACTCTACAGGAGTCATCCTTTTTGGCTTTGGATGCTCCAGGACATGTTATTTCTAACATGAACGACTGTCTACCTCAAAGCCAGGTGAAACATGAGAACCAAAACATAAGCCTGTCATGACATTAGGATGCAAACTCAGGGGGATGTGTCATAGAGGACAGACTGGCGAAGAAGGAAAGGGTAACTCCACACAAGCCACAGGGGATATTCTCAGGACCGGGGTATTTTTCTGGTCTGAACCTCACAATTCATGATGGGGAAAAAAAAAAGCCCTTGCTTAGTTTAAATGTGCAACCTCAACAGAGATTCATAATTATAGAAGTGATATAACCTAGCTAACATATTAAACTCAGAGACAGTGGCATTTAACATTTAAAAAAACACCACCTAACTTAGTTGACCTAAAAACTGCTAATCTGAGAAACAAACTAACCAACGGCAGTTTATGACTAAAGCAAACAGCAGAAGACGTGAAGCAACGTTAGCATTCATTTCATTTCAGTCGTTTTTCTGTCTAACGTTACCTGACACATGTAGGTCCAGTGTTCGTCGGCCTCTGTTTTATTCTTCACAAACTCCTGAGAGAAATATCTGTGTCTGAATCTGTATATTTAGCTTGCCAGACGTTAAACTTCACAAACTTTTTGTGTTGAGTAACGCTAGTTAACGTTAGCTAATCGGTGGGAATGCTAGCTGGCTACTGTAAGTTACTTTCTTAGTTCCAATTTATGCTACTTTATATATTTGTATATATTTATATTAACATTTCAGTCAATTACCTCCAGATACTACAATTAAATGCTTCTTTCTGTGCAAGCTAAAGCATTTGTTACACAGAAATACTTTTATTCCTCAGTACATTTTGTTTTTGATACTGATGTTCTTTGGTGTGACATTTTGAAAGCATGACTTTAACTTGTAATGCTGTTTTTAATACTGTTGTATTGGTACTTTTTTTTTAGAGTCATACTTGAAAAGGAAGCCTGCTGGGGTTGATGAGAGCAGCTCAGACTGACAAAACAATGAGCTATAAGGTACATATAGTGTTGTTGTTGATGCTTCTTCACTTACTGGATTCACTGTAAATATCAAATCTATTTACTAATACAATCTTAGTATGTGAGTAGTGAGTAGTATTTGAACATAAACACTATTCACATGCATTAAATATATGTTGAATCATTATCAAATAAACCTGCTGAGGCAGCCTGGTGAAGTGACACAACACAGAGGAAACAAAAACATCCAGTTTGCATCTTTTGTCACGTACAATCAATTCAGAAAAATATAAAAACAATTTACCATTCTTACATAGAGAGAATCCCATGCATCCTTAAAAGCACAGTAATATGTGAAAGTAGAGCAGAATTTGAACTGAAGAGGACGATTATATAAGCAGCATGCAGCATCAGCGCTGTCATCAGTGGCTGGCTGCTGTGCAGCCTCTCTGTCATGAGAGAGTCATGTGGCAGAGCATGTGCAGCAGATTAGAAATAAGAAAAACTACGCCCACCTTTTCCTGCAGCAGCCAGCGTCTCAGCCATGGGTAGTCCTGGATGAGTTGCTCATAGCTCAGGCAGTGCTTCACTGTAGTGGGTACGTTACCCATCCGAATGGCTGCTGTTCAGCCAACTGCACCTCTGAGTCCTCCGAGACTAACCTCCAAAGACTGCTGCAACTAATATAGCAAATTGAAGCGTCGATCAATATGCTAATGCTGGCCTGGACGGTGGAGGGCCTTGCTGCATGTGGGGATGGCATTAGAGGACGACTGCAGACGGTGGAGGATGATTCAGCAGTTGCCATGGTAGCCACATCCCTACCAGGGAGGGGATCCAAACAGAGAGGGATGGGGGATGGAGACTGAAAGAGAGGAAATGGTGTGAAGCAAAGTGGCAAATGGAGCGATATGGGAGATTAGTGCTGTACTCCACACTGGGAATTCTTGTGGAAGCATTGTGAGGAAAGATATAATATGGGCATTGAGAAAAGGGGATGCAGGTGCAGGGCAGAAAAATAAGAAGAGGAGTGCAAATCGGCTCCAAATGATGTATAACCAGTATTCACTAAAATGCCTTATAGTTTATATCTTGATTCAACAACAGAATTAGATACACATTCAACTCCTTGCTCTGGTGAGAATTGAAGGCTTCAGGGAAACAGGCTGCTTTGATTGATCTCCTGTGACCTAAACAGTTGAGGGGTTTCCATTGCCAGACGTGACACTGCTGCCAATGTCAACTGCATGGTGTAATAAAATCCCTTGTTAAGCCAGGGCAACATTTACCAGAGAAAGAGCCATTCTTCTGAACCCAGATGTTAACAATAGAGGGGCTTAATGAAGTCCTAGCATTCAACCATCTCACCACGCTAAACTGCCCTGTGATGAGAGACCTCTACCTCTCTCTCGAGGGAGGAGGGCGACTCATATGATCAGCCCTGAAAAAGCCTTTTTTGTAGCAGACTTCAAGGTTGATGTCTATCAGTTGCCACCCCCTAAAATTTTAAAATGCCTGTTGCCTCTAATCACTTATGCATGGTCGTCTTAGGCAGAGAAAAACAACGAGTGCAGTAGCGTTAATGGTTGGAAGTACAGAAGTTTTAAATCTAATTGTCAACTTTTAACTAATTTTATTTAGCTTTTTAATAATAACCAAATCGGTGCTGGCCATTATTTCGGCCAAAAAATGAATAAAGGGAATTTTCTGCTGTAGTTATATTCGCCTGGAAATAAGTGTCCATTCATTTGAAATAATTTCATGGTGTTAGTGGTTTGCTTGGCTTTAAATTCAATTCAGATGTCTGTGAACCTGTGCTTTAAAGGCATCAGAGCCCGGAAAAATAATGAAAACCGCATTTTGCAGAAGCACTAAATTAGTGCAGATAATGTCTATAATAATCTGCTACCATAGAGCACAGTGTCAGGTGTATATACTTTATATAGAACATTTTAAATAAACATCATATGGAACTAAATACAATATAACAATTCCTTCCAGTATCACAAAGAAAGGCTGAGAAATCTGTTGTCACTAACACCAGGACACATGTAATTCATCATTTGTATTTTCTTTCTATTGCCAGAAAAATGATGACTTTTCAAGGAAAAGTTTCTTTCAGTGGCTCTTTTTCAATCAGTGATAACTGCATAAGTCGATTAACCCTAACTGGCCTTTTAACATTTTTTCTTTCAAGGAAACTCAGCTACGGTTTATCTTGACAAATACCAGCTGCAGCGAGTCACTTAAAAGAACTGGCCTTCAGGGGCTTTTCCTGCTTTTAGGAATGAATGTAATGCAGGTGAGTGGAAACTTTTAAAGTTTAAGATCGTATGTAAGTAGAGGACATTTTATAAAAGGTAGTAATGTAAAACAGTTCATTTGACATTTCAATTGTCTTTGTTTTGTCAGATATTAGAGAAATATTAAAAGTTGGGTGTGGTTTCAAGCTGATATGTGAATGTAGGAGCCCTTAAGCAATTTTGATGTTTTAATTTTAGTTTTTTGGAGTGTACACAGGATGGAGGATTATTAGGAGTCAAATCAAATCAAGGGCGAATTATTGTATCACAACAACAGTAACAAACACTGCCCTTGTGTCCAGTTTGTTAATAGAGTAAAATCATGACGTGAAACCAAATCACAATTCAGTTTAATAAATAAAACAAAGCTTAAAGATGTTTCCTACAAGGTTAAACCCTGTAAAAGGACAATACTCTATAAGTTTGTGCAGATTAGGCAAACAGATATGTCTTGACAGGAAAAAGGATGTCTCTGTGCTAGTTTGTAAGCTGTCTCCTGAGAACAATATATTTTACACATGAGGATTTTGGAGACCAAGCAGATGATGAACGTCTCAGAATATTAAATAAAAATCAAACAGTGCAAATGTCACAACATATCTCTGAAATGGAAAAAGTTGCATATAAAAGAAAGAGGCTATTCTCTTTTTTTGTACTAAGAAAGAAACAGATGTGAAAAACAGTACTTTATAGAGTACAGGTTTGGGCATGGCATGAAAGAGGTTTTAAGCTCTCAGATATATACTGAAAACAAAGTGGAAGAAAGAAAACAGGAACCAGATTAAATCAATTTTCATCCTCCATCCGTCTTCAATTTCTACATCGTGGATTTAACTGAACTGTAACAACAAGAGTCCTGGTGCTGAACGAATAGCACATTATCATCACCCTGAAAGCAATAATCATGACATAGTCTTTCATGCCCACAGAAGGTGGAAGGGTTTGTTGGGTATATAGTTAAAATAATTACACCCAGTCCTATAGCAACAGACCACCTGATGGTGTATAGGATTCAAACTGAGTCATGCATAAGACATGCTGCACAAAGTGAAGTAAAAAATATATATAATAAAAATAATCTTGCTGTTGTGTAAGAAAAGGCATCCCCTCCCAATCTAATGTCCATTATAAGCAATGTACCAAGGGAAAAAATGACCACAAACACTTCTCTTAAAATAAAATGTAAAGCCTTTTATAAAAATAGCAGCCTACCTTACAGTTTCTTCAGGAAGGCCGGCTGCTCTGAGCCAACTTTCCACAGCTCCCCTCAGAGACAGCATGTGTGTTAAAGATTATCCTCACAGTAATCACACCACAGAGCGCCCTGTGGCTTTTAGTCACAAAAGCCACTGACCTGTGTGTTGGGTTTGTGTCCACACATGATCATGATTGTTGAGCATTGATTTATAAAATGCAATATGTTCGGTTCTGCAAGTAAGGCTGTGGGACTCGCCACACCCGCCCATTCAGAATAATGAACATTAGTTTAATAAGGAAATCCTCACCAGTTAATGATCAGTTGACTGCAATATAACCTATAATCACTTAGCTGCAGTATAACCATATCATTCATTCTGACGTGCTACAATCTTAATTATTTTCTTCACAAAGGCACTAGTTAAGACCACTTTGTCACAGATGCATTCAGGCGGATGTTTCTAAGCAGTCAGATATTTATTGTGCAGATTTTTATATTGCACCGTAGAGGACTTCGTGGTTGGATTACGGCTCCGACTGGCTCATAAAGTATAGAGATTTCTTTCAGTGTATCCATATCCTTGGTGGGAGAGAAATTACAACAGCCAGAATACATATGAAACGGGTTAAGTGGTGGCTGTTGACATCTCTATTTGCTGTCTAAATTGGTGCAGTAGCATGTTTTGTTCATTATTTTTATGGTGGTGTGAGAAGATGACAGGGCAGATCAACATCAGCCTGGTAAAGTCAAATACATGTTGGTCCAGTGCTGAGTATCGTTTGAAACTAGTTTTGCTACAGATACCAACATTTTCCTACAAAATCCTGTAGCTCAGTAAACCAAAGAAGCCAGAGTTTTCAGTGTTGTCTAAACACAAGCAGTCATACGATTTAGATGAAGTAGTTCTTACTGTGATTTGACATTTGACACTAGCTTTCAACAAACTCATTTCAGTTGAAAGTACTGAGATTCGATATAGCCATAAAATACTACTGTAGACTCACGATAAGGACATGACCCTGGGCTGTACTGAGTGAAATACTGTATGACTGACAGCCCCAAACACAGCCTGGGAGCACAGGGAAACCTGTGTTTGTCATCCTCCCAGTCCTTTCTCCTGACACTCTATGCAGTTAAATGTGCAGTTAAGGCAGAAATAAACTTCAGATAGTGCTAAATATTGGGCTAAATATTTGTTTATATTCTGAGCAATGCATGATACAGTTTTCGTTTTGGACATAACACAGTTTAAGGTGAGTTAAAGTACTATTAAATGAAGAGGTCTATGGAAATAATAGTGAAAGATGTGCTAATGTCTTTCTTTATTCAGCTGCAGAGAGGTTATAAGACACAGTGGTAGTTGCAGTTCTGCTAAGCCAACCTCCAATCTACAGTATAAACACTACTAGATACATTTAATTGTCTTGGCTTCTACAGTGATGATGATTAACTCCAAGTCCATGCCTTAAATTTAAAGACTTGGCTTTTTTGGAGTGTTCTCAATTTGAGACCAGCCGGTTTTAATAGAAATGGTTTACCTTTATAGAGTGAATTGTGCTTTTTCAGTCTTGCTTTTGTTCTTTCTTTCTTTCCTTAGTTCATAATTGTGCCCAGATATGCCCAGATTCTTCTTCCTTGTTTTGGCAGCATATTTAAACACTGGTTTGAGAGCTTGGTGATACAGTAAATCAGCATGATAAATACAGGATAGAGACATCCTTGGCATCAGATACAGGTTAATATCCTGCGCATCTGCTTTGGTTTGTATTCTCCCCTTAAACATTTTTTTTTATTTTATGTGTTCTTTGACATAAATTGTACAATAGATGGGTGACAGGAGGACATAACTTACCTGCACAAAAAGAAGAGAGCAGACATGGTTAGCATACCGTGTCAGAAGCTTTTTATTTCTACTGGGACCAACCCACAAATTCTCATGGAAAAAATACTGCATGCAATGAAAAAACAGAAAATATAAAGCCCAACCAGGACTGACGTTAAAAACAACTGTGTCATTTTATGGAGTTATAAAAAGTCAAGAAAGGGTTTTAATTTATGATCCTAGTTCATTTATGAAATCGTCTTTAAAAAGGATTTCCAAGCAGTATTTATTGATCAAATTCAACCGACTAATACATTTTAATGCACATATTCCATAAGATTGTATAAGAAAGTACATTTTAAAATATAAAAATGGTATAAATGCACAGGTGCCATCTCTAATGGTAATGGGAAGTGACAGTTGAGTTCACAAACAGTCTGTTGTAACTTTGAGAACCCAAAACCCTCTCTCTTCTCTGGCTGGGGAAGCTAATGTGCATATGTGAATAACAAGCAAACATAACAGTGTTTCTGCATTGCCCTCTGTCAAGACACATTCCTTGCTGTTCCTGCTACAGCCTTGTCATACCAAACAACATGTAAAAATGTGACCCATATGGTCTCCCTTTTCAAGAGGGACTGATTGAGCTGTATGGAAGTCGTAGCCCACCCACAGAATACAAATAAGGAGAACCATATGTGGGGAGATGAATTAGGTAAACTGCACAACATTTTTATTAGATACAATTTCACTTGCCTTGTGGATAGACTGCAAGGTGACACTCTGAAAATAAACTTTGAGCCACGGAGAGAAAAGACCTCTGGTTAACAGAGGGTAAGTCGATGAAACATGGAATTACTAAACCAAATGAGCAATAACTGTTATGTTTTGTAGTTGTACTGGCTTGACCAAAATGTGATCAAAATAAGCATTATGTCAGTCATCTAACCTGCCGGCATTAGAGCTGACTGTACCAGTTATTGAGCACATTAATGATAGTCAGAATCATGTGCCTTTACACTGCCTGGCATATGAAACGCCAATAAGACTGTGAACAAATGTTTAGTTTCACAGTTTATGGGCATGTTTGTGTAAAATCCAACTTTTCTTTCATGGACTACTGACCACATTTGATTTTAGTTTCAAATACAAGTGTTCTTGTTTACAAAATGAATAACTACTCAAAATACTTGAGTACACTATAAATAAATCATTATAGGACATTAAAACAAGTGTTCAACAAGGCTAGGAAGACTTAAAGAGGTTTAGGAACCATTGGCACTGAAAAATACTCAAATGTTAAAATATGATGTGGAGATTTTAGTCTTGGTTGTCTGTACGTAATAAGGAAAAGATACTTTCCTCTTATTTTCCTCCCGTTTATAGACTATTTAATATGGATGTCTGCGGCATCACTCCATTAAAAGTGGGCTTTAATCATTAATGACAAAGAAAACAGACAAAATATTTCAGCTTCTGAGGACGTTAGAGGACATTTCTGAGTGGCTTCCAGCACGAACACCTCTGTCGGTGGTCCAACCAAATTAATGGCTTGTTACATCAGCTTTTTGTTTTTGTTTTGCAGCATGTGTCAACATATTTCTTCCTTGTGATGGTTTAGATTAGATAAAAATGACTCATCAAGCATTTGCGAATTTTCACAGACAGCCAGTTCCTGCCTGCTAAAAGCTTCAAGATGATCTCTCTTCACTAAATTTATCACATTTGCTGAACAAAAGAACATGTTCTTAACAGCCGCTCTCATGGACATGTCTGTTTTTTCAATCAGGTTAAGAGAATAAACATGTTTGTGGTAGAAAAAAAAAAAAAAACGTAATATCAGCACCTGGAAACACATCCTGACATTATGTAACTGTGTTTATGTAAAGCCAACAGTATGTTGTGACATACACTGTAAACCTGAGGGCATGATGCATGAATTATTCACAAGAAACCCTTCATGAAAAGTAAACTGCAGTGGGTTGTGACCTTTTTCCAGCATGTTTCAAAAGTAGCCACTGCAAGTGCTGATCTGATGAATGTCAAGGCACCTCTGACTCACTGCAGTCTGTTTTTGACCACGGGGGTCTCAGAGGAGAAGGGGCCACTATATTAATCTGCCCTGAGTATGGCAATTGTTACCCTTTCCTTTCATGTGGTAAGAGGTTGCTGTCGAGAGGGCCGCGTAGTTTTGGAGGAACTTAAATAGGAGCTCATTCATGGCAGCTCATGCTTTATAGAAAAGGAAGAAATGTAGCTGAATTGGAAAGAATCCATGATATTAAACAGTAGATGGGATTGTGAAGTGCTTGGAGTAATCATGCCAGGCAACAGACCGCAGGAATGCAAATCACCCCTCAAGCCAAGAGTAAGTTAGCAGGTGGCCTCTCCTATTCACTGAATGTCAACACTCCTCTTAGATGGAGCCCACATAACATCTGGGCAGGCCAGCCACTGCTTTTAATTAAGTGAAATACAGTCACTCAATGTTCTGCCATGTCAGAGAATTTTTTTTTTTATAAAAGTGGGAGGGTAGGGGGAGAAAAAGTGCAACAGTACATATCCTGTGTCCAGTGAAGGTCAACACAGTTGTGTAAATAAATATTAATCCTTAACCTAATCCCTAGATTTCCAAGACCATTGAAAATACCTGCGTAACCAGAGGGCTTCTTGCATTTTTCTGGAAATTCTACTCAACTTGAATGAGGAGGAAATGCAAGTTAAGTTTGGTTTATGGTCTCCACTCTCTTTCCAGTGGTGAATCTTAGCTCTGAACAGATGGCAACATCCAAAACAAGTGTAAAGAGTGTGAGCGAGCAGAGATGTGCCAAACACATCACATGAATCTTGTGATGGATGGTTATCTTTCCCCATAATCAGGAAGGTATTGCTTACAAAATGATATACTGTACCTTTCTCTGCTGGCAGCCTCATGATAATCGCCCTTTTGGGTTGTCTTTGGAGGTCACAGCACTGCTTTACTGCTAGCAATGTACCACTAGCATTACCACTCCCCAAGAGCATGTCAACAGGCTCTGTGGGTGGACCCCTAGTTTATATCATACTTGTCAAACATTTATAAATCTGAGATGGTAGTCCGGCAACAGTGTGTAAAACATCCGCAGAACTCCAAACAGAAATACAAAAGGACAACTTGAATTTGAAAAGGCTGGAGGACTTGCAGCTGGAGGGGGTGGGGGTGGGGGGTGGGGGGGGCTCCAAGATGAAATGCATTTCTGCTTGTAGTTTAGGGTGATAAATGGATGAATAAAAGCTGTGAGGTTAAAAATACAAAAGGCAAAAGATAAGAGTTTTTCAAGTGGTACATTTATTAAAATACACAACAATCTACATTAAGATATACTTTCCCCAAACGTGAGCTAGAATTAGCGTGGAGCAAAGACATTTGCAGCTATGATAAATGTCCACAGAGGAATGAGAAAACAGTGTTTATGGAAGAGTTTCATTCCAGACTGACATAATCCCCTTCTGAGGACACACACTCTTGTAAAAAGAAACAACAAAAAAAGCTGGTGTGGAAAAGGTGAAACAGTATTAGTGCTGAAAGACGGTGACAGCTTGAAAATAGCTTTGGGCAGTTCGGTTCAGATTAGAGAAAACTCTTTTCAGTTGTGATGTTAGTGCTAAAAGCATCACCTTGATGTCTCCATTGTTTATCAGATAAACTTGTGATGCTGCATTTGTCTAGTCATTTATCATTTTTGTTTCATTATGGAAACAAACTACATGAAGAAAAACAAATCATACACTGACATCAAAGCATAATTCTAGATAGCACAGTGAGCATTTATAGCACAAGTGTATTGTAAAAACAGGCAGAAGGGGAAGCGATCTTATGTATCATGATGACTCCAGTGAATAGTTAACTCATAAAAGTTATCATACAGACGTAACTAAGAGAGATTATATGCCAACGGACACAAAAGTCAAATGATAACTGGCGTAAAGTAAAATCAACATTTTGTCCTAATCATTTAAATATCACAATATTCAGTGCTAATTTAAAAAAGAAAATAAATTAGGTAGTAAAACTTTATATACATAATACTGTACATCACATCACACCTGTAGCAGATGTGTTTTCCAGCGATTCCCATACCAGATAGCATAAATTAAAGTTACCCCATGCCTCTCTAATGGCAACCACAAGACCTAACTACCATATTTCTATATTTCTTGAGGATAACGTTTGAGCTGTCATCAAAGTAAAGTACTGATATTGCGTTGAGCTTGGTTGGGGCACAGCATGGCTTTGGCACATTGTCAGGAAACATTAAATGGACCTATAAATGAGAGCATAAAGTAGGTTTAAAGGAGGTGCAACAGTAGTGAGTTTCAAATGAATTATAACTCCTAAGAACATTATGGAAGCTTATAACACAATTTTATTGAACTACACATATGGAATACACTCTAAAGAGTACTTACCAGGGTTTGCACAATTGCATGATTTGTTGCATTCATGTGTGCGTTGAGTGGAAAGGAGCATTCACCATCGCAGTAAAAAGCAGCATAGCCCTCAGGTGCAATGATCCAGTCCTTGACAAAAAAATAGCTTCTTTTATTTATGGCACATGGTGAGTTTTCTTTGTGTCACATTATAATCTCAGTAAAAATGTATGGTTCATTGTGTTATTCCATTACCATTTGTTATAAATGCTTCGTGATATGAAATAATTTGACCTTACCTGCCAGCCCAAATCTCGAAAACTGACATAAAGTTCATGCTTCTTGCAAGCTTGCTTCTGTTCACTTGTGTTGTAATCTGAAAACATAAATTAAAAATTATTAATCATAACAGAAAATAACAGTGGCATAGAAGTCATAAAGCTCCTGAACTAAAACACATACAGTACATGTTTGCAGTCATAAATACAAATCTCTGTGAGTACATTAGAGCATTGTAGAGCTCTGTTAATCACTGCTTTATTGTGATGAATTGGAAATATTTCCTATTAATGTTATAGTATTTTAAAGAAAACAATGGATTTTGGAGTTACAGGTGTTTTCTTTTCCAATTTTTCCAACAGGCAAATGAGGGTTGTAATAATCCAAAAACATTTCCTGGTTCACTAATTATATATATTTGGAAATATTTCATGATTAATGAGTATGCAATGCATGACAGGACGGTGCCACTATGTCTCTTAATCAGTACTTATACTTCACAAGATTAAAAGTCTAAAGCACAGCAAGTGGCCCCTCCAGGCTGCCATGTTCATGACAACCACCAATATGAAAGTTCAGACAAACATACAAAGATTATTAGAGGTTGGCACTAAAGGAGAGGCTTCAAAGTCCTCAGCTAATTACATGGCAAGTAGCCCATTACACCTACAGTAAATACACATATTGTGTCTGTGAACTGATGGTCAAAATATCCTAAAAACAGAGACATGTGATGAAATTATTAGGAATCATCTTGTAATTGTGGAGATATCTTTCAGCAGGGAAGTTTTTTAGTTTGACAAATGGATGGACAGTCTGTTGGAACGATGGCTGAATGATCTAATTAGAAACCGGATGAGTATAGGGTAAAAGGGTATAAAACACTATTGTAGCATCTAGTATACATCATAAAAGTGCACATACCTCCAGTTTGTGGAGCCCTAGATTCTTGTTGATTAGTGGATTTATTGCGATTGTGGTTCTTTTTCTTCCCACCAGCAGCTCTGACAGAGCGAAGCAACACCCCACTGGCCTTGAAGAAAGCAACCAGGAACGGCTGTTTGGACTGGGGCCCATTCCTCCCAATGATTCCAGCAGATTTTATGTTGATACTGCGTCCTTTAAAAACAGAAGGTAAATAAAACTTTCAAAATAAAACTACAGGAAGGAGGAATATTTTATCATTTTATTACTGTTTTTAAAGTGATTCTGAAGTCAAGCATCTTTACAAATACAAGGTCAAGCCATTAATCTTTTTGTGGATTTATGGCCATTTATTGTTGGTAAATAATAATAACATACATACATTATCAAATATATCACACATTTGCCTTGAAGTCAATGAAAATATGTGTTTATTATCTACTGCAGACTTTGTGGACTGTCTCAAAAGATGAACCTCCTAACCCTTTTTTAGATTCCAAGAGTCTGAGATAAATCTGGGAAATGTTAAATTCATAGAAAGAAAAACTGAAAACTTCACTTGCCATCTACAGTCTCCACACAGAGCTGAAGGCCCAAGTTCTGCTGTGGGTTCATCACCCAGTGGTTACTGGTGGCCGTGATGTCAAACACTAGCCACCCCCCATCAGACGCCTGGACCTTTTTGGAGTCGAGCAAGAACGTCTCTGCATCTCTGAAGGTAAGAAAAAACAATTACATAAACATCTGCATTAAATAAACAAACATTTACATGCAAGCAGCAACCACTATTATACAACACACATGCATATTGATTATTATTATCATAAACCTGTGAAAATTATTTTAATTTTAGTCTCTGTGGGTATGTTGGTTTTCTAGATTATTACTCCTACGTTCCAGAGTGGAGTTGGTCAAACAGATGGTTAAATGAATGTGGTCACTTTATTGCAGCTTTATAAACAAATTATAAAACCTCAGTGCTACAGTGCATTAAGCTTTAGAACAAATTAAAACTGTCTGTGCACCTTAATGTTGCATAATATTAATGGGACATAAAAAAGAAACCATATGCTTCTTTGAGGGCAGGGACTGAATCCAAGAGGTCTTAACCAGTTAGACTGGAACAGATAAACGAAGTAACACTGACTGATCGCAAATGGATGCTTTAGCCCAAAATCTGTAGCAGAAGCCAAAATCTGAGTGGATTTTATTAGTTTCTTCATCTCTTTATCCATTTGAAACCAACCATTCTTCCCTAAAGAGGCCTTCAGTATTGAAAACTGGTGATTTGGTGGGTAAAAGTAATTTTTGTATGCCAACTTCGTGCGGGAGATGAAAAGAAAGTGGTGCCGCTATTGTTGAAGAAGCTGTGACTTGTAATAAACTGCAGAGTTGTGTGGTAAAACGTGGGCCAAGATTTCAGCTATTTGATTGGCAAAACATTTCAGGAGTTATGAATCATGTATATCAGCCCTTGTGTATTTTTAACATGAGCCTGACATAAGGCATCAATCAACCCTAAGTTGAAAAAGCCCCGCTTCGCAATTTGCATTGGATTCCTTTCAAGTGGCAGATCGGATAAGGCAGCGCCTGTTCAGTTTTTGTGGTTACATGGTGCTTGGTCAGAGGGAACCAAGATTTTCCATGTGGCCCCAATAGTTTAGGAATTATTTATGTGTTTATTACAGGTGTAATAAAACCCAACCTTGTGTGGAATTCCATATGAGGTTAATCCTTATGAGTGACAAACTGCTGAACTTCCTCTTTGAAATGTACAGTATTAAGCTTATATCCTGTGATAATTTAGTTTGTGTAGGTAAGTATTCACTATTCCCATAGCCATATCCAATAGGAAAATGTTTATCCCGCCCCCTTCATCTGTGATTACTGGATGTACTGTTCCACAGAGGGTGAGTTAAAGTGAGTGGATACCGGGGATAGACGTAACTCCTCTTTTTTAGACAAGTCTGTCTCCTGCAAATTATGTTCATATGCCACTATTCTCCATTAGCAATTTATGTTTAGTAGCAGTGCAGGACATAGTGCAACATTGATTTAGCGGAGTGAAAGGTCAGGTTGGTGCTTAGTTGTATTACTTTAAAAGTACACTGTGGAGTTTTTGACCAATAGTCCTGTTGACATATGAAGCAATGTGTTTTTAAGAGGTCCTTGTTTTGTTAGTATCTTGTTCCGTTCATGTGCACAAGGATGATGGTTTCCACGATCGACTGTTAGTAAGCACCAAAAATGTTGCAAGGTGCCAAAAAAGGCAGTGAAAAAGAAAACCGCTAACAAGCAAACATGGCACAACAAAGTCAACACGTTTATTAGACCTCAACTATACAATTAATGTGTTGTGGTGAGAAAGATAACTTAATTTGTTTAGAGGAAACTCAACAGGGTACCACTAACACCAGCATCTCGATCGAAGTCTCGTACTCATACTGCTAGTGAGTAATAGTTTACTTATTTAAAATTGAGGGGTGAGTGAGAGGAAAGGGGGCAACAAAAGCCTGTGGCTGGATTTGAACTGGGAGGTTGCTAACAATCCTTTAGTTGATGCACAAGTGGATTTTGTAGAAATAAATACCTGAAAACCATTGGCGTATGCAGTATTAACATTCTGTCTGATATGTTGAAGAATGTGTATGGCTTTACAAATAATGCTTAGTATAATATGAATTCAGTTTGCTTTTGAAGTTGAGAAAAGAACTTGAGCAAATTGTTTTAAAATCACATCTTCAAAATATTGATTCTAAGATTTCTTACTTCTTTGTGAACACTAACTAAAACACACTATTCCCCATGAAAAGTGTGTGAAAACTTAAACTGAGCAGTCTTCCCCTTTAAGATGTCCATTGACTTGGACCTTTTCAAAGCCCAGGAGGGCCATATCTCCCCTTCAATCACCCACACACATTTTTGGCAAGCAAATGTGGGCCCACTTTTAAGTACACCCTTGTGTATTCAGCTATGTCATGGTTTAAACTTCCGGAATATTGTTAAGACAGGCAGGTGGTGGGCATAACAGTGACCACGGGAGCACCCAAGGGAGCCCCCTCCCCCCCTAACATCGGCCCTCATGGTTTCATCTGGGACACGGCCAGCTTGGCAGGCAACACAAGACGAGTGATAACTGATGGACCTTCCGAGCTTCGTAAGTGGCCAACTTGCTAATGGAGTTCTCTTTATCCGAGAACTATATTTGTAAGGCAGACATGGTGCGAATGAAGGAGAACAGAGTTGGAGATAGAAGGGCGTTCTATACGAGTGGAAAGTTTTGACCAGACAATAGCTGTGGGACCATTTGTCTTTTTGACAGTGGAATAAGATAACGGCATTTGTTTAGTTTTTACCTTTATTACAGTAATAGATATTTCTGTTTTCTTTCTATCAATTTGCAGTTGCAAACCGAATGATGTTTGCTATTTGCTTTGTGTTTCTTAACATTTTAAATACCTGAAAACAGGTTTGATGCAGGTCCTCGGTCTATATTCTTTTTTATTTTATTTTAGATTTTAGATTCCTCTGGCACTGTTTGATTATATGAGGCCAGGTTCATTTATCCTCATTAATGTGATACATGCCTTAATCAGCAGTGCAGGAAGTATTGAGAGTAGAAGTAGCAATATCATACTAAATACTCCAATAAAAGCTCTAATAATTTAATTTTACTAGTACTAAGTACTAGCAGAAAAATTTACTTAATAAGTACTCACTGAATAGCCCCTTCAGGCTCCAACCAATATTAGTTCTTTTTATGTTTTTTTCATGTTTTGTATGTAAAATCTTAATTTGAAAAGTAACTAGTAACTATATCTGGCAGATAAATGTAGTGTAGTAAAAAATATAATGTTCTGTATGTAGTGTACCTGAAATTGTTTGTAGTAAATATATAAAGTAGCAGAAAATGGAAATACTCAAGTTAAGTGCAAGTACCTCAAAACTGTACTGAAGTACAGTACTTGAGTAAATGTACTAAGTTACATTTCAGCACAGCCTTTAATGTTTGTTTTTGGTTGTTTAGGTACTTACTTGTTTTGATATTCCTTGATGACTTGATATATGGAAACCTTCAGAGTAATATTGTCGTAACGGGAATGACTGCGGTCCTTATAGATCCGAAACTCTGCAGCAGTCACCGCCTCTCCGTCTGGGATCTGAGTCAGATCAAAACGGAACTCCTTGTAGTGTCTTCGTTGGTGAGAAAAATCTTTATCTTTCTCCACTGGGAAAGAAAATATTTTATGATGAATTTCATTTTTACTGGCAGCAAAGCTGATCAAAAAATATGACTTTAACTCCTGAGCCGCTGCGTGTGCTGCTCACAAGAGAAAATATGCCGACATTAATGCACAGAAAAAAGTAATTTATCACATCTTCTTTTACATTCCAGGTCCAATCCAAACATTTTGACTACCAACAAAAGCACTTTCCAGTTCATTAAATCAGTCAACTGAATACAGGTAGCAGTTCCCAGACAGGCCCTCTACTGTGTGCCTAACTGCATTCTCTGGCCATGATGAATGGGCTGTCAGTTAAGAAAAACAGGCTGATTTCAATTAAAGACACTTTCGTCTGCTCCTCAAGTGAGAGAAAAGACCAGACAGGATTCTTCAACGTCATGTGAGCGTCTACTCTGACCTCATTTCTGACCTTATACTGACCTCCTGTAGGTTTCATTCAATGCACTAAGGGTGTTTAATGACCCTTAACCTTTTAAAACTAAATATTTATTTTATAATGAGTAACATGAGATTTCTTTTTAGGCCTGTAATTTTTGAAAATGTTTAAAAATTCATAACATGTATGATTATTTTATATTTTTGCTGCAGGGAAACAAGCTCTTACATCTATTTTGTACATCAAATAAATTCCCTCAGTGCAGTGACTTTAATAATGGCATCAAAGAGCCTCAGCGTGTCAACATTATGAACATGCTGACAAAAGATACTTCAATGGTACTCGAAAGTGACCGTCTCACACCCCTGCCTGGTAGCAGAAAAGAGGCATGTGGCTGAGGTCAGTGGATTTTCTGACATCCGTGGTAATATCATGCAGTGCATTTCCCTGATATTTTATCGAGAGAGAACGCCTGCGGTTACTTAGCACAAACAGGTCAGAGGTCAGGTCTGACTTTTAGCCACTGAGCGTGTTCCATTATATTAGCCACGGGCAGTAATCTGAAGCAGAAGTGCCACTGAGAGCATACAGCATTTAACTTTAAAATAGTTAAAGATTAAATAATAATGACTTCACTCCGTGGTATGGGTGAGCCGTGTACATTCTTGATCTGTTGCAAATAAATTGGATTCAGCTTGTTCTACCAGGACCGTATTTTAAATAATTAGATTCATCGTTAACATCCTCTTGTACAATCTCTTGTATGCGTATGGAATTTCAATAGCATAGTTTTTATTCATACACTGAAAGGTCAAATGGTTACAGCAAGCACAGTATACTGCACAAAATGCCACATAGACATTTCTAAAACAGTCGAGGTCAGTAGCTATATTTGAGTGTACTGTAATAAAGACAGAGCCCCATTGAACACTTCACTGACAGTCCCCAGAACGAGAGCAGAGCTTTCAAGGCTGACAGTGTACATGCCCTGCTATAGTGGTAAGTGGAAACAGATGGGCTCAGGCCAAGGTGAGGGATTATACTTCCAGGCAACTCTACACAAATTCACTTTTACATGTTTTGCTCTAAAATCCTTACCACTACAATACCAGCATTATGTAACGTTTATTTATGGTCATTATTTTTTTAAGTCACTCAATCAGGATTCTGCAATGCAGCATCATATTTCATTAAAGTAACTTCCCATGTGCCATGTTTAATTTCTTAATTCTCATTAAAGAACAATAACTGCTGCGAATAACACAAATTCGAAGAACAGAGCTCCTGCATTCTCTTAGAGACAAAACCTCAAGATATGCAGGCATCAGTCAATATCACTCCCCCTTTTAACAACAGGAAATAATTTAGACCAATTTTCTCAAGGTCAGACAGTCATCTGATAAGTTGCTCTGAACTGCTGGGTTAAGGGTCACGGCTACTGAACAAACACAATCATTATACAGATCAGCTGCTTTTTAATAGAAAGCAGCAATAATGGATAAGGTCAAAATGTTGGGCCTAATTCTGTTAAATACAAAATATTTCACACAAGGCTAAATAAACTGAACGCCTCACATGCCAGATAATGACTGATGTCTGAATAGTGTACAAACATAAACATTTAGATGGAGAAATAAAAGAGTCTCTAAATGATACTGAGTGAGAGGAAGTCAACAAAGTTAACTTAGATGATCACTACAAATTTTATAGCTTTGTCATAGCTCAGATCAAATGTACATTTGTCAAATTAATTTGACAGAATGAATTAACTGCATTTGCCAATAGCAAAACAACACACAGGTCAATAAATATTTTAATGAATTAAAATATTAATTGAAATACATGAATGAATGCTGTCATGCTGCAGTATTTTATAGTTCCTTGTCTGCAGTGAATTGTTTGGAAAATTGCACTTAATGTACAAAACATTAAGTACACAGATAAAGGTAAAATTCTTATTGTACCTTAATAATTCCCCCTTACAGTGAAGGGAATGAAGATGGAGAGAAACATGAGCTGGAGAAGTATTTTTAAAAACTTTTAAGATGTGGATTTTTTTAACTGAAGTGCTCCTCTGAATAATATCTAACCCCAGGCATCGGATGTATTCTAATTTCGATGAATTACTTTAAGAGGTGAGAAATTAGTCCGCTTTAATACCACTTACCTAAATTGACAAAACTCATAACCATGTCCGCATCATTGAGAAAGTTGGTGTCGTGCGCTGAGGTGAGTGCGGGGCTGTGGCCTAACAGAGGGGCCGCGCGGTAAGGCTGCGCCACACGGGAGTACCCGGCATGCTGGGGGCTGTAGTAACCTTTCCTGGAGTGCCCTTGAGCCTTGGCAGCGAAGCTCTTCCCTGCGCCCTGCTGCACCTCCTCCTCCTCCTCCTCCACTGCCATGGCGTTGTACAGGTCGAGCATGAACAGCGGCGCGGAGGACGCCTGCTTCCCGGGAGAGAAGGGCCTCGGACGGTGAGGCAAGCCCAGGATGGAGAGGATCTCTCTCTGGATCTCCCTGCGTTCGTGATTGCGCAACCTCCTGTAAATAAAACTGGAGTGCACATGGTTGTCACTTAACCCGCAATGAGCGCAGGACAGAAAACTCAAGCAGCTCCACGCGAGTCCAAACACAGCACGGTTCAAAGGTGTAAGCGCTGTCATCTTGACAAATAGTTCACTCTGGGGTGTGAGGTTGAACTACATCGCATTCTGTGAGACCAATAAAATACATTATACCTCTTCCAATACGGAATCATAGACTTTCCATATTAGAGAGAGGCACCACAACTTTCACGGTGGTAACTGAGGAGGCTTCTTCTTTTTTTTTTTTTTTTTTTAACCAGTCAGCCCTTCTACAAATGAGGTATCAGCTTGCAGAAAAGTCGCCGCTCCTCTCCTGTGCGCGAAGTTCCTCCGGCAGTATTTACTCCTCCAGGGTCCATCCAAAGTCTCTGCACAGTATTTATGGAGATATGACCCCGTCCCTCACCTTACTCCTCTGTGATGCAGAAGCACGTAGGTACGCCCATAACGTCGAGGGATAACCCGGAGTTTTCCAGCAGATGAAATGTGTTGAACTGTGTCAGAAATGAACTGAGAGGAGTTCTCGACTCATGCCCCGGCTCGCATTTTACTTTTTTTTCTCCCCCCTTTGAGAATGTATTGGGGCTAGTTGCCCTCTGAGTCCATCCCACACTCAACTTTTGTTTTTGCATCCACCTCTAGCGGCCGCAATAAAACTTCAGCCCGGTCCCATGATGAATGTGGCGGCTCGGGAGTGTAAAAGGAGACACTTGAAATCCGAGAGCCCGTCTTAACGAGTGAAAGAATAATGACAGAGCCTTTTAATCACCTCAAGTTATTGAAGTCCGCGTGTTTATAGGAGAGGGCTCCAGCTGCATTCAGCACCAACAACAAGGATCCTGTTTTTATACAATAAGGGCTTAAACATGATCCTCTGGGATGCTGTAAAAAATTATTTTATTAAATACATCAACAAACAAGTGGGCCAGCGTGTAATGTGCTGCACTTCAAATGATACTACAGTACATAATTCCCATAAAATAACAGATCAGGGAAGAAAAATAACACAAAGATATTGCAAATTCAGTATTAAGAGCCACAGACCCACAACAGGATAGTCTACAAGGATTTTCATCTTCAGAATTACAAAAGCTGACTTTGAGTATAGAAAAAATTAATTTAAAGCGAAGAGCCTTAATACAGAAAGCTCTGCTCTCAGAGGAGCGTTAGGTAAACAGTATGGTGAAGTAAGTACTCTGGGATAATTAAAAACATAAATAGTCAGAGCTCTCCATGTGATGGGTGGCTGCTGTCCAGACTGAAAAAAGGAAGCTCCTTCTTAGGTAAAGTAACTCCTGGATATGCTAGGATGTTACCACATAGCGCCATCTAGTGTACAAAGCTTCAACACTTCAGTTGTTATTACCCTGTTACACACACATACACACACAGCCTACAGAAGCTTTCTAGCCAGAGCTGCACATGTGTCCAAGTTTCTTAGTGCTATGTTCTTAGAGGAAGACCCAGGTGATGATCTCTGTTTTTGTTTCCATGACCATCACACTTCATTCTTTTTGATGCTGCAGTTAGAAAAAAAAAAAAAAAAAGGAAAAAGGAAACATTTCACACTACACTCCAAAAAGTCATTTTCCAGGAGAACTATTAGATTGATGATGTGATGGAGTCCTGAAATAAACCTGAAACTTAAAAGCTCAAAGCACAGAACAAACTCTGTTCACAAATCATTAAGATATTTTAATTCTAGTAAAAAAAAAAAAGAAAGATTCAAAGATTCATACATAAGTCACCTTAACACAAAATAATAAAATTACAAAAGCTGTTTACGACCTGTCACTGTTGAAATACACAGTTATGACTCTTTTATAAATAACAATAAAATACCTGCTACAGTAATGAAAGGTAAGCTCCGGGAACATAAATGACAACATTTCAAACTTAAATGTCAGCATGTTCTTAGATGGTGAAACCTTTACTTCCTAACTGGAATAAAATGACACGAGAATGAATGGGTATTGTGTTGGGGGAGAAGTATTAATTTATCTTGGGTGATACACAATATTAGCTGTTGTAAAGAGATTAAGTGCTGAACAGTCAAACTGAATGCTTAAGGAACACAGGCTTACAGCAGCTTATAATCAGCTACAGGAAATCTAACTCACAGTCTTGTGCTGAAACATGCCAATTTCAGACATAATTTATGGTGAAACAATTCACTGAATATAGAATTTATGTATTTTTTTGTTGTTGTTGTTTTTAACGGAAGATAACCAATGTGCAGTGAAAATGAGAGAGCAACATGCAATAAAGCAACACCAGGGGGCAATGTGGGAAAATATACCAGCCACACTGGCCAGAGAGAGATCCAGACATATATTTAGTACATGAATTAAAGGTGCTCAGATGAGATTCATTAAAGGACATCAGTATTTTTCAACCCTATTTTCCCATGTTTTTGTGTTAAAGCAGCATATAGGAGCAACGTGTTTTCAATTTGGTTCAGTTTTGTGAAAGAGTGCTGCAGCATGCAGCCACGAAATGGGATGCAACATAATCGTTGCGGGCAGTTGTGCATCGTCAAAATTGCTTTTTTTCCACTGAGCTGCACAAATTCTTATTATAATTGTCTAACAACATTATGGAATAGACCATACAGAAAAATTTTATGTTTTTGGTACCTTTCGCTTGATCCAGTCTGTGAAATCTCCTCTGTGGGCATAGGGTCACAGCCCCCACAGGAACACCACCGGTCTCCCGAGATTTGCAACCTTGCAGCAGCTAGTTCACCATACTTTGATTGTTGCCCCTTGCTCTCTCTTGGTCTGCTCTTCACTTTGTCTTCATCAGTATAGCTCGGCTCAAACAAATATGGGTGGCGATCGAATTCAAAGGCCATATCCAAATCAACTAAATATTCACCCATGACATTGAAAATCTTTTACATAACGCTGTCTGTACTCTAACACAACAAACCCAGCCGGCATTACTGCACTCCCGTTTCTACTGTTGTCATCCTACAACAAGTCACCTTACCTCTCCTGAAATTTTGGAACTAGTCTTCTCCTCGAGTGAGACTTCGTTAGACACACAGCGGATCAAGCTGAAGGAAGAGAAAACGTTTCAATTCTCTGTATGGTCGTGTTATCAGAAATATATATTAACAATCTGAAACGGTCAGTAGGACTTTTAATGGACGTATTGTGATTACGTTGTAGCCACTCTCACTGGGCCGAATTCAAAACTTGTTGTCCCTTTCACTTTGACACAAAAACACAGAAAAATAATGTCCAGGTTGAAAAATACAAAAATAACCCTTTAAATTGAGCCATTTATTAATTGTCACAACACCATTAAAACCTTAAAGCATGTTCAAAGACGTGAATAAAATTACAAAATACCAACGGGGAAAATGTGTTGGGATTTAGTTCTGTTGACTGTCTGAGATCACATAAAAGGTGTTAGAAGAGGTCCGTTCTGTTTCCACGACAGAGAGAAACTGTAAAGATGAGATCTTCCTGAGAATGGCTGTTTGTTCCACATCAGCTCCAGACTGGTGCCTGCAGTGACACTGCATTACATCAATAGTTTGGCCCTTTGCTGTAAGGATCCCGCCTCATCATGCTACCATAGCACATGGATGGATCACACACCCCAGGCTGACCAGGGATGCCAGGATTACCACTTTTACCCTCTGCTCCGTTTAGACCAGGGGTTCCAGGCTTACCTGGAGGACCTGGCTTACCGTACCCCTGTGGACCCATTGGACCTGTGAAGATAAAGATACTAAGCAATGATCGGTTCAAAGGAATGGTACACAAAAGTAACAGGTGGCATAAATATCAGAAAAGAAAGAAGTCCCCCTGTAAATAGCTTCCATATGGCTTTCTGTAAAGTTGAATGATTGGTGAAACAGAATAATTAGTCACATTATTTACCTGGAGGCCCAGGTGGCCCTTGGTCTCCAATGATGGTTCGACCAGGGCTCCCCTTCTCACCATCTAGCCCTGGTTCTCCTACAGACACAAGTGCACTTGCTTGAGCATCCTGCAAAACAGCTTTACTGACATACTGTTGACTTTGACACTGGTTTTACCTTTCTGCCCATTAATACCAGGGTGCCCTGGCCGACCGGGGTGGCCCGACATTCCCCTGGAGCCACTAAGTCCAGGAAGACCCCTGAGTCCCTGGGGCCCAGTTGGACCTGGAGGACCAGGAGATCCAGGCCGGCTATGACATCTGGTACAGCTACTCTGTTGGTTGCCCAGCAACAATAAAGGCAGCTCCGCTATGATAATTGACAATGAAAAGATTTCAGATGTGTGTTGAAAACACACAGAAACACATGATCAGTCAGTCTATAATGTTACTCACACTGAAGAATCTCTCTGCAGATTTGTCGAATGTGATTATCCGACATTTCACTCGCCTGAAATAAAAAGTGATGGATCATTTGGATTTTCAGTGACCGTCCACTCAGTAATGTTAGTCAACATCAGAATAAAAACTGTTATCAGCAGTAAAGATGTTAGCACAGCATGTGGCACACATACAGATCTTCCCGTAGGTCCAGGAGGGCCAGGTAGACCAGTGTCCCCTGTTAGCCCTCGGGGGCCAGGTGGGCCTGACTGACCCGACTGTCCAGGCCGTCCCACTTGACCTTCTTGACCTCTCTGCCCCGGATCCCCTGTTGTCCCTTTCTGGCAAAAATACCACCCCAGGGTTAGCAAAAGCACAGCAATTCATATTATATAGAGGTACAGTGCTTAATGCAATCAGCTTAACATACCTCTCCTTTAAGTCCCATTGGACCAGTGGAACCCTGTCAATTAAATCAGGATAAGTCATTAAACCCAAAAGTATTCAAGACAGCACAAGCTTCCAACAAGGCTGCACTATTCTCAGAAAATCAGCTTCTAAATCTGCATGAAAATGCACAGTGGAAGACAATCTTGCTAAACGCCTAAATCTTGGAAATACTACGGTTTAATATGGATGAGAATTTGAAGCAAGACAGACTCATGAATACTGAGTATCAGTCTGTTGTAGCACCACCTGTTAGCTAAAAAAAATCACATTTTGCAGTACTACTCTGATAAGTCTTTCAGTTACAGTTGCACCTGCATGAGTTCAGGAATTATGGTCCTTTATGTCAAATAGGCCTTAAAGAACTTGAGAGCAAGGTATAGTAAAAGGATCATGCTTACAGGGAATGTATGTACCAAACAATGTACAAAAAAGGGTGAATATTAGATGAGGAGTGGTTAAAAACAAATGTGTTTTGCAAAAGATTTGAAATGTAAATCACTGTACATGAAAATAGATTTGGCCTATATGGAGAGATTAGATATATATTGCACCAAGGATGCACAAAAAACCCTTTAGTTGCTAAGCCACTAAGTCTAAAGTGTTTAACAAATGGCCACATGGTGGCGCCACATTGAAAACTAAGTTACAGCTTTTGAGCTATCCTGCCATATAACAGACAGATGATTTGTTTAATATATTGTATATTGAACATATCGTCCAGGTTTAACTTAAGTTGCACAACATTAAAAGACAACAAAGCTGATCAAAGACACTCACTTGTTCCCCTGGTCGAC